AGCTAGCAGAAGAACGAGAAATGGATGGAGCACCAAGCGATGGAAAATAAGATCTCAACCACAGTTGAGTGAACCAAAGAGGTCCACTGCCAGTGGGAGATGCACCATTCTTCAATTGAGTTTGAAGAAAAGCCATACCTCTATAAAGGGCAGCCAAAAACAAAGAACATAAATTCAAAGGCCTGCCACGCGCCAATTCGTGCGCTATAGGTAAATAACTCAGAGAAGGCTTTATACTTGGCACGCATAACACATATTTACAAAGCCAAACTAAAAGGAAGGCCACTCGCTCAGTATGGGTAGGCTCAGCACTCGAATGATTATGGAGGGTCTGCAGGCTTGAATAAGAATCGGTGTAGTTTTTACCGAACTGTGGGGCGCCACCAGAAACTAAGATACCTGGGAAAATGGTATCGCCCAAAGGTGGTAAATTCACCATGGCCCCAACATCCCTTAACGTAATAGACATGGGGCCAAGAGGAAAAATAAAGGTGTTGTACTCAGAGGACCAAAAACTTAAAGCAATCGAAAAGAGCGCTGAATCAAAAGTAGGGGGCGAATAGAGACTTCTAACAAATCAGAAATCCTAGCGCTATCAAAAAGTGCCTTAGTAGGACCATGGCCCACCAGGCGAGCATGCCACCTACGAAAAGCTACATCAGATTTAGGCCAAGTGAGAATACCTCTTTCGCGAAGTGGCCCCAGCAGTAGAGAGTTTAGAAAAGGAGGGCCATGAGTGCAAGGAAACAGCTGACCCACCACCGCCTGTTCAACTGCCTCCGCATTGTTGAAGAAAGGACCCAAGTAAAACTCATTACGTCCAACATCGGCGGGCGCGAGAAAACTTGGGGTTATGTATGGGCGACTCAGAAGTTTCTGAAAGTCATCAAAACTAAAGGAGTCGTTAGCTTGAGATTGTGAAGCGGCCATTGGAGAAGGAACGAACTTTTCAGGGTTACGTAACAAGAAAGCAAAAGATAAACAGTGAATCGTGAAAGAGATGCAAAAATATGAGGCGTGGTTTGGTAGCAGTGAAATGGCGTGTTTGGGGTTTATAAGGGTTTGCAAAACGACGCACTTTTTCAAGTTATAGAAGGAAACAATGATTGAAATTCTTGGGAATGTCGAACGTTGCTGGAAACATGAAGTGAATATGGCAAAATTCAATATTTATTATTAATTCTGCCATATTGGGGGGTAATTGTTGACGCATAAAAATTCAGCCCAAATCGAACAGCCCAAGGAATAAAGCCTAATTGGAGGATCCCCAAATCAGATAGCCCAAAGAACGAAGTCCAATCGAACGAATCAAGATGAAGGCCCAAATAAGGGGCCCAAGAGTGCAGTAACGCCATCGCCCAAGTTTGCAAGTCGCCCAGAATCTGAACGAATGGAGTGTCATACGGTCGCCCAGAGTTGTTATTCTATTCTCGCCCAAACCTTCAAGTCGCCCAAGGTATCAACAAACATAACGCATTGTGGTTATCAAGAAATGCAGTTATCAAGGCAGTTGTTAAAGTAACCCTATCACGTTCCACAACTCAAGGAATTCAATCGAAAGCGGTTGAACGATGAAAGATAATGACAGCGGTTAAAAAGCAGTTTCTTGACAAAATGGCCACTACAAAGAAAGTGGGTAGTTATAGGACGATCAAGCAGTTTTCAGAGTAGTTAATCACAAAGAGATCGTCTGTGAGGTATAAAAGGGAGAAAGGACGTAGAAGCAAGGACCGAATCCAAAACTCTCGAACAGAGAATATGTAACTTTCATTTCATTAGCTTTTAGACTTAAACACTTTTCTTTCTGTAACTCGTGTGCTTGCGCTCCTTGGAGGCACGTTGTTTTTCGTTTCCAATTGTAAAGTTCATCGCCAATAAAAGAATACCCCTTTTTGGGACTTTGTCTCAAGAGGTTTCGTCCCTTACACAATCGTCTGATCCCTTTTAATTGTTAGCGAATTAACCCGCGCGAAACATATAGAATATTTAACAAGCTTCTCAAGAGACGCTATCCATGAAAAGAGTGAAAAAGAGGTAATTTAACTATTTCAATTGAAGGATTTGTTGAGAAAAATGATGGAGGGTTCCTAATATTTTATATTATTACTATTCATGTTTTTATAGTGAAATACTCGTAAATTGGCTGCTATAAATGCTCAATCTTTTGCTGAAATATTGCAGACACAAAGAGGCTGCTAGGGGATTACTACCCTGCCATTTGCTTCCTGAAAATTTGCCACTGCATTAAATTTTTGAAAGTATGCCGTAAGCAGTATTGTTGTTTTGGTAAAAACTTGCTGTGCCGGGCATTGTAGTAATTTGTTGTCTTTATTAATCATAAGTAATTTCGAAGTAGAAAAATATATCGCCATCTGTGCTTTGTATTTGCCAGTCCATCAAGCTTGATGGTCAACCAATAAAATGGAAAAATAAACCAATATAGGAAGAATATAGTCGAGCTGTTGTTAGGTTAAACTTCAGAGATTATTTTCGTGCATATTCTGATGATTTCAGTTCTGCCAGATCGTGTTCACTGTAATGTCAAAACTCGAGATGATCTCAAAATTTAAATATCATTCTTCACTATTCTAAAAATGAAGTTGTGTTTTGTTGTTTGAGTTCAGGAAAACACTGAATTACATCTTTCTTTTAAATGGACCCTTGACTTAGAAAATTGAATAAAACTAGATAACGCAACATAAATAAAATACCAACCTGGGCTGGAGGATAAAAGATTATTGACATGAATTGGAGAAAAGTCTAGTGATCACTTCTTATCTGCTTTGGCTTCACTCATTCACTATTCAAGTTCAATGCTTTGAAATTGTAGTAACTTTCATTTGTTGATTTATGACTTTCTATTTGTGGTGTGATTTATTGACATAGGCTCCATTACATAATAAATCATACTAAAAGAGGTTATGAATGACTGGACCCCTTATCAGCAAACTGCAAACAACTTTTTCTGTGACCCCCAAAGAGTAGTTTCAATACTATCTTTAAGTTTCATTCATGTTATAAGAATCATCTCAATTTACTTTCCCCATTAAGTGCTAAATCACTTTGGTTTGAGAGTTTGCTGGTATGTAAAATATTTATTGCATTTCGTATTTATGTTGGAAGATAATGAGTTAAGTATTGAAGGATCATTAGCCCTTTCCTTCTTTCCTATTTTAGCCAATTCAGCTAGTTTTGTTGCGAATCTTGCTTCTGAAGGTACTTCAGCTGTGGCAAGATTTGAATATTTCAGCGCCTTTAGATAACTGTTCGAAGTTATCTCACTATGACGTAATGTTGCCTTGTTAATAAAGTGAAATATTCTCTATCTCATGACGACATTCTTCCTGACGTGAATATTTAAGCATTAGATAAAATTGCTCTTGTTATCGTGCGGAATTTTCCATTGATGTGAACTTGACTACCATTCAACTTCTTGCTACCCTGATCTTCATATGTTAACGTGACAGACTTCTGAATCTGCTGAAGACTAGCTTTTGGCAAATGGAAAAGGACTTCTGATAAGAATGGATCCTCAAGCTTTTATTAGGTTGTCAATTGGGTCATTAGGACTCAGAATTCCAGGAACACCTCTTACTGCAGCAAAATCTGATATTCATGCGTTCTCTTCTTCTTGTGTGTGTGAAATCCGGCTGCGCGGTTTCCCTGTGCAAACAACACCAATTCCCTTAATATCCTCTCCTGAGACAAACCCTGATTCTCACAGCATTGCCTCCAGCTTTTATCCTGAAGAGTCGGACTTGAAAGCAATGTTGGCACCTGGATGTTTTTACACTTCTCATGCATGTCTGGAGATAGTGGTTTTTACAGTTTGGAAGGGCTTTCATTGTGGTGTTGGTATCAAAAGGCAGCAAATTGGGACGTTCAAATTGGAAGTGGGTCCAGAATGGGGTCAAGGAAAGCCAGTTATTCTTTACAATGGCTGGATTGGCATTGGCAAAAATAGGAAGGATAGTGGGAAACCAGGAGCAGAGCTTCATTTGAGAGTGAAGTTGGACCCTGATCCAAGATATGTCTTCCAGTTTGAGGATTATACTAAATTAAGTCCCCAAATTGTTCAACTTCAAGGGACCATCAAGCAGCCTATTTTCAGTTGCAAGTTTAGTCAAGACAGGTGATATTGAATTTACTTGCTTTATGTTATGTTTTCACAGTAGGTAAATTATATCGTCTTTTAGAAGCTATAGTTTATGTTGAACAAACTGTTAGCCAAGTAAATGTCAAGAATGGCTTGATTCATGAACGATGCCTAAGGCTTCATATTGTGCTAGACCACCTAACCAAATCGTACTGTATACAAATCCGCTTTTAAGTTTTGAACATGTTTTCATAAGAGAAATTTATTGTTTCCTACTCATGCAATATGCATGCCTTCGATGTACTGTGTAGAAGTTTCACTATTTAATTGCTTTAGTGTCTGTATACATTTATAGGGTATCCCAGGTAGATCCCCTGAGCACCTTCTGGGCAGGTTCAGGTGACGGTGTATATCAGGATATGGAAAGAAGGGAGAGAGGTCTGGAAGGTGAAGATACATGATCTCTCTGGCTCAGCTGTTGCAGCAGCCTTCATAACAACTCCATTTGTTCCATCAGCAGGTTGTGATTGGGTGGCTAAGTCCAACCCAGGAGCTTGGTTGATTGTTCGATCAGATGCATGCCAGCCCGAGAGCTGGCAGCCATGGGGAAAGCTTGAAGCATGGCGTGCACGTGGCATCAGAGACTATGTCTGCTGCCGCTTCCACCTTTTGTCGGAGGGGCAGGAAGGTGATGGGCTTCTCATGTCTGAGATATTGATGAATGCAGAAAAGGGTGGGGAGTTCTTTATAGATACTGACAGGCAGGTCCGGGAAGCAGAAGCAGAAGCAGCAGCAGCAGCGACTCCGGTGCCAAGTCCGCAGAGCAGTGGAGACTTTGCAGCACTGAGCCCGGTCGTAGGTGGATTTGTTGTGAGCTGTAGAGTGCAAGGGGAAGGGAAATGTAGCAAGCCATTGGTGCAACTAGCCATGCGACATGTAACTTGCGTGGAGGATGCAGCCATCTTTATGGCTTTGGCAGCTGCCGTTGATCAGCATCGAGGCGTGTAGACCATTCCGTCGGAAGATCAGGAGAGGTACTATCCATTCTAGGTGACATCTAATTATTTTCTTGAAAGATATGAAGACCTTGACTTTCCTACTGTGGTAGCTTCTTGACATTTTTGTATAGTTTCCTTCGGATTTTCATATCCTAATCTGCATTTTGGCTTTGGCAATATGGCCAACGAAATGCGTAGTCCTGGTTACCGTACTGTCTTGATTATACGTTGAAGTCTTAATCTTGCCTATACTGTCGATTCGTCCCAATTTCTTCATGACATGAATTTCCGACTTAAGTTTTGGCATAATCATATCTTTCACGACAACTGTGACATCAAGAGTTTTAATGTATATTTGACGAACAAGCGTAAAGATCATACTTTCATGCTACATTCATTTTGTGCAACTTGCACGCTCTTACAACATAATTATTTTAAATAGGATAAACCAAATCATAAGTTGACAAAACCTGATACATGGTTTAATAAACTTGTACAAGGAATCTCCAAATAATAAATGGTCGTCTAACAAGGCATCTTAAGCTTCGCACAAGTATTGAAATTCCTAGTGTAAGATTGCGCTACATATTTCCTATATTCCTCAAACAGTGGATATTTTTCCCCACATTACATACATTATAAGCAGACAATATAACAATCTTGCAATATATACATTTTACATGAACACAGCTGTGTGAAAGATGGTAATCACAGCCAAACGGCTATAGATAACTAGTGTTTGCGCTCCCATTTCCCTTCGCGTCTACCATCACCACGTTCTCTCCGCTCAATTACCTGCCTTGTCTTGCTGCCCCTTGAACCTTGCCTTTGGGCAGATCCAAATCCAATAGATTGACCCTCAAGACTGGATACATCTGGATCGCCGATGCTACCTGTGTCACCTGGGTCCTTGTTTACATCAAAAGTTTCATCATAACTGCTGCCACATTCATCTGATCTGTCACGGGATTGTAGAATAGTGGGAAGTTGACCCGAAAACTGCCTATTTCCAGATAAAACAACTGTTGGAATGCTTCCAATGGCTGAACTTGTGGGAACAGTATCAGGCTGCAAGTTGCCAGTACTTGCTCTCAAGCTGCCTTCATTACCTGCTCTTCCATTTTCCCTTTCACGGTACCTATCCCGTGGTCTGTTGATTAAAGAATTTTTTTTAAAGAACAAAAACTTTCAATAACATGAACCTATTCATAAATTCAAGACAACTAAAATGCATACAGCACGCATCAGTTAGTATAATTGGAGAACACCCATCAACATGCCACTTGATAACCACTAAGCAACCATATTTAAGCCTAGTGCAGGAACGTTAATTTAAGATAATAAGCTTCAATTGTACCAGCCACTTGTCACGTATGGAAATCCTTACCTCAACCTTAGAACACACCAGTAGCTGAATAATGTTTCGAGTACTTCCTTATTTTTTCCATTTTTATCTCCACTTGTTGGGTGAGAGAGTTCATTGAGCTCACGAGAAGTCTGAATTTATTATGTAATCAATTGGCTAGTATCCAAGGTCTATTAAAAGAATCTTATTGTATACTATATATAACACCTGCAAACAGCATTAACTCCATATTTAAGAGCATACCGTGAACACCAAATGAGGGAGAAGCATTTAGGATTTGCTTAAATAATTAAAAGTGTCACAAAAGTATTATACCAAGAAAAGCCAGTCATGATGCACAAACCTTTTGAAGGATCATTTAAGTCTTAGAATACCATTTTTTAAATTTTAGTTACAAGCTATGATACACCGACACGAACACGTGTGTTCGATATGACACTATCGAATATGTTGACACGCAATTTTTCAAAAAAGTACTAACATGAATTGTTGCCAACACGTTAATTAAATTCATTAAAATTCTTCATTTATATATTATAATTTAGTTTTATATTTTTGTTATTAATTTTTCTTGTTGAAATCTTTTAAATGAGTACCTATTCGTTATTTACTAATAATTTAGAGTTAAAAATATATAATATTTATAATAAAAACGAAAAACGATTATGGTAAAGTGTTCAAGGAGTGTTGGTATCCAACATGTATCCAACACGCTACCCTAGTCAGAGGGACTAAAAAAAATTTCTATTGGGCTATAAAAAAATAAAAAAATAAAAATAAAAATAAAAATCATCATTTTTTTAGCTAAAAAAAATAAATTTCCCTTCAAAATAATTTGGGCTAGCCCTGCCCTAATCCTAGAGGAAGTGTCCGTGCAACAGAGATTACAAGTCAAGGTACTTCAGAAAATGCGTGCTTTTTCATTTCCTTGGCTGGGTCAAATTAGAGATATGATTCCATTTTCACTCACAAAATTCTTCACAAGATAGACACTTTATGACACAAAAGTCAATTTAAGAAGAATTTATATTGACAAGATAATAATTACTTTCGAATATCATGTAAATGATCTAGAACATTCAACTTGAAACAGAGGTACAACATCCAGTTTTAACTACATAGTAATTGCTCTTTCAGCAAGGAATGTGTTTCAGACCATGTAGATTCAAACTTGTAACAAGTAAAGTCCTCTTAAAAATTTAAACAGATCAACTAGTTAGTAGAGTGTTGAATGTTTTGAATCATGATACATTCTAGATATCTTTCATACTCACCTACTATGAGTGGCGGATGAAAATTCTCTCCTTGATGGTCGCATCCCAGACTCTACTTGCTCAAGTTCCCGCTGGAGTTCTCTCTACACGAAGATTTCCATGTTAGCTAAAAGCGCAGGAGATCAAGTTTATGATTTTAATAGTACAATTTCCTTTTTACGTAGATAAATAGGAAACTCAATTTTAGAGAAGTGGGCTAAATACAAAGCGGTGCAATTAAGGAAACGAGGAAGTGTGTACAAGAAAAGCCCATCATGGTCTAACTCAGATTGCAACTCAGACAAATTGTCTGAATCTCAAAAGAGAAAACATAATCCACAGAAGGCCTCACTTAATAGGACTCCGTTTTTAATCCTTTTTTTTTATCTTTTTAAAGGCCCCCTTTTTATTTTTTTTTTTTTTTTTTTTTTTTTTTTTTTTTGGAAACCTTGCCCTCCCTATTAGAGTCTGGTACCAAGGTCAATGACCTTATAAGGCTTCACTCGTACCACTTGAGCTATGCCTGGTCTCACATGATGGACTTCTGAGTGGTGATACAAATAACAATTTAGTTATGATCAGAAGAGTAGCTGATAAAAGTAGATTGATCATAGAGTCTTACAAACTGTATTAGTTAATTTGTCTTAAGAAGTTGGACCAGTTTTTATAATTCATCGAGATTGGCAGAAGGCTGCTTGTCATCAAACCTACTACTAAAAGCACAATGATTTATTTACATGCAGCTTCATTTGACCATCCTGTTCAAGTAATAACAAATATATTTCTGAACTTGCATTTATAATCAGCACTCATTTCGGACGAAATTAATTCAAATGCAAATGACATCAAATAAAACATTTTTCTTTGCTAGGATTCATTTTAAACAAAGTACTAGTATTGATATGACAAATGCCAACTAGACGTGACCAGACCTACTAAAGCACCACCAACTCACACAATCAATCCAAATAGTTCAATTTTTATGGAAGCTATTCTATCAGAATACAAATCTTCAAGATCCTTGCAAGTTGAAACTAAGCTATGTTTGGCTCATGTTTATAAACAATCAAGTCACTTTTATCCATGCAGTTCGAAGAATCCATAACTACTACTGTCTTATCCACCACTCATTTCTATTTATTTATAATATAAACAATTTATAAACACTTCCCAAACATACTTTAAAGCTAGAAGAATATTATTTATAAGTTTCAAAGCGCTATTCTTGAGAAGAAAAACTATGCATTGTTTATATGAGAATCAAGAAATCCAGATCTTATATAATTTTTTGGAACAAATACATCGAAGGAAAATGGATGCAGTGACATTTCAAGTTCAAGTTTTAGAATCGCAGCTGGTATTAGGTAAAGTGAACTGTTGACCATGTGTACAATCTTAAAAAACGGGAGAAAATTATTGCAAACCACATCCACTTCTACGCATGATCATCGTGTGAACATTAGAATATTATCTAGGCCTTGCCTGATTTTGCTTCTCTTTCTCCATATCAAGATTGTGCCGCAACTCTCTGGTTTTTGCACGCTCAAGTTCCAGCAACCGCTGTCTCTCAAGCTCCCTTTCTACTTCACTTGTCCTCTCGCTGATACACCAATAGCAGGCCATTCACTAATTTGAAGGACATAAAGGAACGCTACAATGAAGAAATAAAATGATCCAGAATATAGGGACACAAACCTATCAAGTTTTTGAAGTAGTTCTGCTTCTCTTACAGTAGCCTCTTCTAAAAATTGTTGGCGGGCGCGCCTGACAAGTAGCTTTTGTTGCCTGCGAGCTACAATTTCCTTTTTAAGTTTCTCCCTTTCCCTGGTAAAAATGTTGTTGTAAAAGAAAAATGATCATTCAGGATATTCCAACACTAGCAATATGAATCAGAAAGTACATTAACTAAGAATATTGGAGAGATAATAAATAATTCTTGATATCCTAAACTTTTTTTTTTTTTTGGATAAGTAATCGAGTAATTTTATTAATCAATAGATAATACATGGAAGTTGTATTATCAATTTAAACAAGAAAGAAAAGACATAAAATTTGACAGCCCTTTTATGTGATTAGTGGCCACAGCATTAAACCAAGTATACAAAATTATATAAAACAATTCTCTAATATGTTCTGTTGTTTTTGTTTGGTCTTTGAAACAGCGACTATTCGTTTCTCTCCATACACACCATACAATGCATTTCGTAATAAGATTTCATGCAAGCCTACTATTCTTGTATTGAAATTTTCTCCTCCATGCCCGCAACACGTCTTTCTATGCACCTAGGCAACACCCATGTTGGGAAGCTAGAATATCGTTGCACAACCACCAAACATCATCACAATGGATAAACAAATGATCAATCGTTTCCCATCTCTCTTATACATATACCATTCAGTAACATAAAAAACTTTTCTTCGAAGATTATCCACTATTAACGTCTGCCCCCTCACAACCGTCCATAATAAAAAAGCCATTCATGGAAGCATTTACATTGCCACACCATCTTCCAGGGAAATGAACTCTCCGCCAGTCCCAATATGGATCTAAAATAAGTGTGAACTGAAAAATACCATTCCATGCCAACTTTCACCTGCTCTGATCACCCTCTCCTATCTGAATATGCGCCTCGTGCGAGGAGGTTAAAAACAGTACATAATCATCCAATTGATATCCTAAACATTTTTCAAAACATTGTAGATCTGAGAGTCTGATATTTCAACATTGATAAATCACTAGGGCCTAACATATCAAGGGTTCTGTACTAATATCTTATTAGATGTACACATGTTGAAGAACATTGGAACAGCACATAATTCATGTAAGTCCAGGTCAGGTATGTACTAGCAAAACACCCCAACATGTGTTTTCTTAGCTATGACATGCAGATGATTCTCTCTATTCATAATCGGCTCTAGCAGCACAGAACATTGAAGGACCTGTAGAGTCTCTTATATTTTTTTCACATTTTGAGTTCGGGGGAATGGTGCAGACACCAGGGATCGCCCTTTTCCCTCTGATCACGGGATAGTAACAATTTTACACACTTTGCAAAATAATTTTGAAGTGGAACTAGGCCCCCGTTTGGTTTGGATAAAAATTAGATTTTTAGTGGATTTTAATAAAAGTTGGCGAAATGTGTAGTTGAAAAGTTAGTAAAAGCTGTGGGTCCCATTAAATGTGTGATTGAAATGAGTGTGAGAAAAAATGAGATTTAAAGAATGGAGGCCAAATAGGAGCTAAATTTGCAATTCTTGTTTTGTTGATTTAAGGTATTTGTTGTGGGTTAAAGCTTAAAGTCAAGGAATGAAGTTGTATTTCTATACCATGCTTTCAAATGCTAAATCCTTGTGATTCAGTACAACTTCCAAGAGGAGGTTATCAAATATTAGGCATATAACCAACACAAATACTAAAGCCTCAAATAATTGATATGTTAATCATGAGGCATTCTTGGTTGCTACAGCCAAAATGGTGAATCCAAGTACATACTGTGTTTGTCGAAGTGATTTACTGATTGATCAGTGCATGGAGTAGTGTTAATCATCATTAATTACCGGATTTTTGCTTGTCCTCTTGCATAAGAGATGCAATTATGATCAATTGTTACAAAAAGACTAAATTGTGTACGTACAGGGATGTGATTCCATCCTTGATTTGCTGCACACGGCTATCATACTCAGTATAAGCTGCAGAGAATAAGCATTTGTTATGAACACAAATACGGAAAAGATATAATCTTACAATAAAAAAATTGGTGGTAAAATTGTAACCATCTCATATAAAAAAGTTGATAGAGGAGCCACATGTATTCTTTAATCTTCAACGTGCACCCTCCATGTTTCCTTTTTTTATTTTATTTTTTATTTTTATTTTTTCCCCATTAAAGCCTAACACATGAACAATATTTAATAAATGGGATGCGGTAGACTTGAAGCAAATATTCTGTTTGGTTGGTCCAATGTAACCATCTCATCTAAAAGCTTAAATTGTTAAAGAAGGACCACATATATTAATTTAAATTCTATCTTCAACAAAAATATCACCAGGACAATATACGCGCTCTGATCTATAACAATGCAGGATGTAAATTTTCAACCTGATCAAAATGACAACATTCTATTTCAAATTAGTTTCCATATTCATAAAAAATTACATCTAATGAATGCAGTTATATAAGAGTGAAATATATCATTACTGGATAAAAATGGTATCTGACGCCAATCTTGGAAATCAGAAGATGTATCGGGTTGTGGGCATTCTTTCTGAAGAAGTTCCATTTCCAATTCTGCTTCTTCTAATTCCTAAAGAAAAAGAATATGATTAATTATACTAGATTAAGCTGCTCAAGTTAATGGAGAATTTCATAAGGCTGCCAGGATTCACCATCTCCTTTTTATCAACTTCCTTGGCAAAAAATTCCAAATATGATTGGGTAGACGTTAAATTGGCAATAACCTGAAAACCAATGAAAAAGGAAATTAACACGTAACCTGCATTGCATCTGAAATTAACATGTAACCACTGCATTCCCTCTTGGTATCACAATTTTTTTATGCCGGTGTTATTTATTCTATTAGGATTCTGATGCATCAGTTTCTCTCAACTAAATAAAAGAGATTAATTTGAACTTTTAGATTATGTAATATTGTTGACAATGAAATCATGATAAAAATACTTCACAAGTACAGTAGGCAATCCCCTAGTTCATGTGAAATGACATTTTCCAATGATTTAGGGTTCAAAATATTAGCTAGTACTAGGCATACAAAATTAAAGGAAGGAGCATACTTAATCATTTAAGGAATAGAAATTTACATTGGCACCAGCCCCCAAATTTCGGCATAATAGATAGTGCTGTTTGTCTGCGCTGGAAATAAATTAATTGTCACCACGAAAATTGTTTAGAATTCAGTATCACCCGACTTAGAACTAGCTCTAGGTATTCTAAGACACAGTACCTAACCTTGGATCTTTCTTTTCCTCTATGCACAAGCATGAACTAGTCTTCTACCCTTCACTTTCCTTCAGAAACAGAGGTACCCCATATAACAGAGATACTCATCAAATACAAGGACAACCAAACTATGATTTACTATAACCGATATTTATTCAACTATATAGTTGATGTCGACCTCTAAGTAATTATGCAGTTAACACATCTTACGACTTTAGTACACAGGTCTTTGTATATGTTGGATATGAATTCAATCTAGACATACTATTAGAAGCTCCCGTTGAGACTACAATGTGTGCCGGAGAACTAAGCCTATGTTTGGCTCATGTTTACAAATGCTCGAGATACTTTTATCCACACATTTCAAGGGATCCATAGGTACTACCCAATTACCCATCACTCATATCTATCTATATACAATTTAAACCGTTTATAAACACTTCCCGAACATGCTCTAAATCAGGAGAAAGTAAACCATTGTTTAATGGTAAGTGAACAAGATTTCCCTAGGAAGTGATGTTTGACCATAATGACTGGATAAATAACAGCAGAATAGGGGGTTTACAATTCTAACACAGCCAAGTTCTCTAACCCTAGATCTTTTAATACAAGCCAGTTTTCCTGGAGTAAAGACAAAGTAGAAAAAAGAGCTTATCCACATTAAAGAACTATTTGGGAGATTTTCTGTACAGCTGGTTGTTCCCAATTAATTTTTGAATCCAAGCTTTATATTAGAAATCAGACAAGCAGTTATGATGAAATCCACACAGCTTTCCTCCTATACTATGTGCGTTGAATAATTTCTATCTTTCTGAAACCGATATGTTGTATCAGCAGCAAAAATGAACTTTCTGTGCAAAGACAGGTTGAAAAAATAAAGCATTTGAATGGATGATGTAGAGGAACTAAGAGGAGTATGACTAGAATAATCAATAAACAGCAGGTTTAGCAGCTTTATGTTCATTACCTGAAGAATTGATTCACGTGTCGCTACGAAATCTGGATCTTGCTGTTTTGAAGAACTTGAAGAGAGTACTTCCTTCAGTATCTACATCAGAAATACATAATCAAACCATGACCAGGTATCCACATGCATAAAGAATTCATGCTGTTGTGAAACCAAAATAAGGATTATTCAGCGTTGATATGTAATACATCATCTTTCTTACAGAGAGATACATTTAAAACTTTTAAGTCACCTACCTGTTTAGCCTCATCTCCATCAGTTTTCAGTTTACATAAAGCCTCACAAGCCTTTTTCTCGATTCCAGTGCAATACCTATCTAAAAACACAATAAAAAAGGGTACTCTGAGATTATTACGTTTAGGCAATTTACAATTATACGACTTTATTGATAGTGAACCACTAGAATTTACCATTTCCAGACAACCCAAAAGTTTCAATATTTCTCCAAATACTTTCAGGAATGAGAGAGAGATCTTCAACTGGTGAATAAAGGCAAACACTGGCAATCAGCGCCAAAGAGAACTGCGTTAATGGGCCATCACATGGCAGTTCTGCAAGAGTCGTTAAACACTGAAGAATACTGTCAACTGCTGCAAGAAAGGACTGTAATTTTTGCCTCTCAGTAAATGGTATATAGGCTATAAGAAGAGCTGTTGCATGGGTTTTCAAGAGCAACGATGCATCAGATGATGCCATTAAAGCAATCTGATCCCAGGTAGCCGAAACTAAAGCAGATAAAATTGGCTCAGAAGCAGAAATAAGTAAGTCTGATGAAGCTGTTACTTTGTCAGTTGTCGAAGACAACACTCGCCCACCCTCTACATCTTGGCCAACAAGTCTTCCCAAGTGCTTTAGTGCAATATATCGTTGTTCAGGCTCAGGATGGCCAATCATGCCAGAGAACAAATCAATCAGAGGAACTTCACTTTCATGAAGATTATGGATACCTCTTCCTAATAACAGTGATAATAACTTATCTGCCTGCAGCCTCCAAGCAATCTTTGGTGCACTCTTAGAGAAGTTCTTAATTGCCATACATATGTCGCCAATCACATTATCCAAACACAACCACCGAGGCAGTCCAAGAAGTGAGTCAAGCATTGCAGATGCTACCTCCCAACAGTTTTTCTTCTGTAGCACAAGGATCATTTCAGAAAGTCCTTTAAGACTGGTTCTCCAAAATTCTGGGAACTCATAAAAATTATTGCTTTGAAAAAGCTTCTCAACCCCTGAAAAAGCAGACACTTCCTCTGCAACAAAACATAAACATCTTAAGTAGAAAAAACACTCAGCAGATGTGAGTACCAATTTCTTCGCCAAATTATGATGGATTTTCCAGCATTGATCGATAGTCGGATTGAGTTTTGAAATGAGGGCCTCTAAATCTTTAGAAAAACTATTTATTTCCTCCAAAGTCAATTGAATGTTTTGACTGGCATCAGTAGCTGTATCAGTGTTGCCTTGATGCATCTCTGATACCTCAGTAGAAGACAAAGTGTTGCATATATCACTTAGAAACCCAGAGGATGACCTGGAGAGATCATCAACGGTACCAGAACTAGAGTCAGAACATAGGGACATTTTAAGCGGAATGGCACCACGGACTCTCAAAGTACCAATAAGTAGATCTTTACAGTTTTCCATGAGAACCTGATATGCACAAATATAATCATGTAAAGAACTTGTCCGCTCATAGGAAGCGAAATCAGCCCATAACATGGTGGACTGCAATACTTCTAATTTGCGATGAAAGGATAAATCACCAAAAATGGAAGCTAAAATAAAAATTGTAAGTGCCCGGCAGCTTCCTTTCTCTGTCGAAGTCCTTCGATTCTCATCAACATATCTAATATTATCAAAAAGTTCACCAAAGCATAGAGATTCAAAATTAAGGCACGAATCATGAATCAACAACTTTTCCTCATCAGCCACCTTTCTTAAGGAATATGAGATGATTGGCTTTACCAAACTTAATATGGAGTCAAGAAATGACACATCACAGTATGATGTCCTGCATAGAGACCCAAGCACCTGCACAACTCTGGGTATTTCTGGTAGCATTGCTTCCATATGCTCAGCTACAATGGCTTCAAGCATGTATAAAACTATAGCTTTTGCATTCTTAGCAACAAAACCTTTGAAATAGTCAGATTTGTTTTGAGATAAGAGTTGGGGCTTCTCATTTTGAACAAATGGCCATGAACATAAGTCAGAAAACCAACACATCAGTTCTGGAACAGCAGTTGGAGAAAGAGACTTCAACTGTAAACCAACAGCCTCCAATATGGTTTCACCAAAACCTTCAAATTCTTTCTTTAAATTGGGAAAGAATTTACTAACATCAGGATATAAAGCATGAAAAGATTGTTGTCTATCATGGTGGCCAAGAAATTTGCCTTCACTCCCAACATCAATATCCTGCTTGACAGAAAATTCTTCAATCGTCTTGTTCATATCTTTTTGCCCAATGATGTTATCAACTAGAGAGAGCTCATCTGAAAATATTGATAGAAGATATGTCAATTGTGACAAATCTGAAACAAGGAAGAGTCGATCCTTCAGATATTGTTTAGCATTACGAGAAACTGCCATCCAACTGAAAAACCTTACAAGAGGAAAAGCAGATGAAGAAATGGCAGGTATTTTCTGCAGCCAGGCTGAAGGAGGAATTAAATTTGAAAGCCTAAAACCATTTCTAACATTAATTGAAAGGTCAGATCCCTCATCACAACCACTTGAAGCAATTACTAATCTATTGAGAAGAATCCAGAAGCGTTGCACCTCATGCAGCTTACACTGGCTCAACTGTGAATCACCTTCCTTGAATTCGCAATAAAACAATTTCAGCTGCCTATTGAAGGATTCAGCAGACTTCAATATTATATCAACTACATGCTCAGGGGGACAGATTAATTTAGTTGCTGAATGCAACAAAAACAGAAGACACTGCATCAGAATCTCATGCATTGAATGTTGATCTCCATTGAAATTCCCCTGCAAACGCTGAACCAAGAAATTGCACAAAAGTTCTTGATTCTGCCGGAGCAAGGTAATGGCATCTGCAGAAAGAATGTCCTGCTGAGATAAATTTATAATGTCTTCACTCGCTTCAACATATGATGCAGAGAGCCCTTCCACTGCCCCTGTGTGATATTTCCTTTCTAACTGGGATGCCTCAATCAGGATTTCAAGAACTGTTCTATCTCTTTTCCTTTCAATATCAGCTACGATTTTCAAGTCATTATCATTTTGTTTTAAAATCCACCTGTTCTCAGCAAGTTCATGATCCTCATTGGTCCTTTTAGTGCGATTTTTTTCCACATCTGAAGAGATGTTCTTAAAAGACATTATAAAGCATGGATTAATATAACACTCTGCTGCCAAAAGCAGCGCATCTATAGCTGCATCATGACTCTCCACGGTGATCTCATTCTGGGAGTGCAAATCGAGAGCTAAACGCCTGAACTCAGAAGCCCTCAGCTCACAATCCCGATAATTCATAAGTTGTGAATAATCACCCAGTAAATTAGAAAATAATCCCTGAGCAGCATCTAATGCCACGTCATTTGGAATTTTCTTGCATAAATCTTTCTGAACAACATGGTTCACTTCTGGACTGGCACTGAAGCAGCTTGATTCTGATCTCTTCATGTCTGGGCTTCCACGAACATGTGTAAGAGACATTCTATTGAGTTCTGGTGGAGCAAAGAGAAGACTCACATCCTCAGGAATATCCACTTTACCATTATTATCAGCAACATCAACTTTCCCATCAGAGTCATCTTGGCTATTTGATCTTGAAGAGGCCAGTCCATTACGAGAGGCAGGAGGCAGAACAGCAAATGATTGTTGCTCCAGAGTCTCAGGACCAGAAAACTTGCAATGATCAATATCAGGAGGTAATTGCATCTGAGGTTCCAAAATTGAAAGAAGTACACTGCATAAAAATACCTCAACTTATATTGGTATCACATTGTAATGGAAAACAAAAAAACTGGATGCACCAGTGCAGCCACTGAGAAAGGAACTTGAGATGAAAATTTGATTACTTTTCTTTTATCATCCATACTGAAAAAGAATTGTGTCACTTTGACGGCATTATTCCCTCTACTTCTAGTTTTGATCCTGAATCCATAATTAAACTTTAGTGCAAGAAGGGCAACATTGATAAATGCGCCAGCATCGAGTGACTGGGAATACTTGCATCTGTTATAATAGTTACCTTATACAAATTGTACATCATTAAGAGGTATTTCGCCCCTTTGCCCCATATACACAAGACATTGCCATGAGATAAAAAACTTTTCCTCCACAAGAAATTGAAGGAGATTGCGTGGGAAGTTGAAGAATCCTTTATCCAAAAGAACAATTATACTTCCCCATTTATTTCATATTTTCATATGTTGCACTCTTTTATTTCCAGATGTCAGGTACATGTCCCTTTCCTTTTGACTCCTGTGAGTTCGATTTATTAAATGGTTTTTGGCTTCAACGCAAAAGGTGTACAAAGGCGTTAGTCAAAGAGAGACACAAATTAAAGAGATACTTCTATTTCTTCTCTTCTCGCCAAGTACTAACAAGGCAATCCAAACAACCTCCATCTACATGGCAACCATCACCTAAGCATCAAACATAAACCCTACATATCTGTAAGTTATTTTTCTAAGATATTCGCCAGGGTGGGGGGGAGTGGGGGTGGGATGCTTTGAGCACTCTCTTGTGGGAACAGACAATGTAATGCTTGTTAATATTATTACCTAGGAGCAACTGATCCACGCCTCCATTCAGCTTCCAATGACGGAAGAACTACAGACTTCCTTATGGCTGTTCGAATTATATTTAATGCAATGGCACAATTCTGTTCCTGATTTTCAACGAAAGTTGAGGAAACATTTCCAAAAGCTATAATACCCTTTAAGGGGGTTAAGGAAGGATCTAGAAAAGGTTCTAGCATCTCCACCAGAAAAAGAATCCGGTGCTTAGCATCCTGAAATACATCATAAGAAGCTTACTAGCAACAAAAACTGATAATTAAAGGAACTATGCCAATTTATTCCCAGAAAAAAATAATAATAATAAGAATCTGCACGCGGGTTGACAAGATTCCATCAACAGCACTACCTTATATTTTGCCATAATATCATCCATGTTCCCAGATAGTGCCAAGACAATATATTTGAGCGCTGCACGTGCACGAGAAAATGAATGACGAACACCCTGTCAGACAAACGTAGAGATCTTGAAATTTAAGGAAAGCATGGTTCTAAAATTTTGGCCAATAACATAAAAAGGCCTCTTATTTCCACTTTGCTGTTGCCAGCATTAGTTTATATTGAATATCTGATGCTGATCCATGCATGCACACACACACAACATGCCAAACAAAAAGGAAAAACAAGGCCACCACTAAAAAGACAATTTCTCATCCTCCAAACATCACAATATAGTGATTAACAGTGGTCAAAATTGAAGACAACAAGTCCAGAACCATTAAACATACCAAAAATCAGCTCTAGGACAACAGAATTTGCATAGTAAATCATTTCCTTAGTCAATAATGCTCAAGAGAAGAAAGAAACCTGCGTAACCCATGACCTCCCTAATATCCAAACCCATGACCAGCAATCCACTGCCGATCCAACTCCTCCTCTCACCAGCGACTGCAATACCGCGTCAAACAGAAACCCTAACTCATTCGGCCCCACGCCACACATACAGCCACACCTTCAAGCAGCGGCCCTAAGTGGAAACCCTAGCACCGCCGCTCAAGTTGATGCTGGAATCAGAGATGTGACCACCTGAGATGGAGTAACGCCACTGGTCGACGGCTATTCTAGTGGATAGACCCAGATGGACCGATTTGGGATGCAAACCTAGATCACACAAAATCCGGCCACCATTCAGGCAGACGCGCCTGACCGGAGCGCAGTGCAGGCGATTCCGAGGCGGGATGTAGGCTGGGGAGGAGCACGCGCCACCGGAGCAGCGTGTCTGCCGGTGTGTGTCAGCCACGTACCGACACCGAAAAGACAGAACCTTCGCCAGAACATTTCCAAACCAGCCATGATGCCTACAATACCATCTGATGTACCATTCACACACAATCAGGGAAGAAAGTTTGCGGAAGCATACGGTTTTGTATTCAATCGTTGGTTTCTAGGGGAGGCAAAGGGGTTTCAAGTTTCTATTAATAATCTCGGCACTATTAGGATGACAGAGTGGGGTTCGAGGATCTCGAATGCAATCTGTATGGAAAGGGTTTGACGCGCTCTGGATGGTGAATATGGTGGATATACTGAGAGTGGCTAGTAGGCGGGATGACTGTCTCAAGATTTAATGAGTCATCAAGAGCTTTTTTGGCACAACGTTGCATGAACAGTCGTGGTAAATACTTGATGATAGCATGGTATGGGGATAGACGTCGAAAGGGTGTGGTGATGGTGCTGGAAGGTGTTAATGGCGAAGGATGGGCTTCGATCTCGCAAGTGTTTCAAGCTATAGTTGACTCATTTGTAGTTGGAGACAAGGCCAAACGTCAAACGGTGAATGCAGGACAACGACAAGGGATGACATATGTCGAAGTTACGGCAAATGTACATGCCACGCAGAATGTTGATCGAAGGGTGTTAATGCGAAAGGAAAAGGTAGTTGCTGTGAGTGATAATGAAGGCATTTGTATGATGCATAAACCTAAGGAAACACATGTAGAAGGATCTTATGATGGTATACTAAATTGTGATGAAATAAGGGCTCCTGTCCAGGCGTTGAAAGAAGAATTGGATGAATTATCTAGGCTTGTGGGATGTGGATCTGCAACGGAATCCAAGATTCTCTTTTGTCATAAGTGTGGGGAGGGCATGAAAGCAGAAAGCTTGGCTCTTAAGGAGCTATCACCAGATGTAGACCCCACTAAAGATAAGGGGGTTAATGACTCGAGGGTCGAAGCAGATAAAGAGATGGGACGTTGGTCTAACATAGGGGAGCCGAATATGGTGAATTTGGAGTCGGAGACACTAGGTATGATGGACATGACGCCAGCTGACGGATTATTATCGGCTGCGAAAGAGACGGGACATATATTAGTCGACGGTCGAGCTTTGACTGAACTGAAGTGCATGAGGAGACATGTTTAAACACCTTGGTTCAGAACACATATAATAGAAGGCATTCGAAGCCCCTAAAAGAAAAGGAATTAGAGACTGACCTCTAGTGTTGTGGGCAAATGGTGCCAAGAAAAGAGGAACTGGCGGTGATGTTGAGCGGATGGAGGAAGCAGAGGGATACCCATATGACATCTTAGAATATCATCATGCAGAGGAAACAACAGAGGTGCATGCGATTGAAGGTCCCCCACCTTCAAATTAGGCTCTTCAAAAAATTCAGAATTTCAGCAAGTTGGTTGGTGTGTCCTACGATGGATATGAAAGTAGACTGTTACAATTATTTGCGGAGTTGGAGGCCAGTAGGGGACATGGGATGAGTATACCAGGCGGTAAAACAAGAAGAAAAGGTGACCGTGAACTTAAGCGGCTTGAATGGTCGGTAAATTGTGGTGGCAAGGGTGTCGAGTCAAAGAAAGGATTGCTTGGGAGGGATGACAAAGCGTTAAGATGATGCCAAAAATAATTAGCTGGAACGTAAGGGGGCTTAATGTAGCGGAGAAAAGATAAGGGGTTCGAAATCTGCTAAGGGGATGGAGGGCGGACTTAGTCTGTTTACAAGAAACTAAGTTGGAGTTCGTCTCAAGGGTTATTGTGAGCAGTTTATGGGGGGGACAGCATGTTGGGTATCAATATAAGGGATCATCAGGGACACGAGAACTCTTGATATGGAGGAGGTTAGTGAAGGATTATTTTCTTTATCGCTTTCCTTCAGAAATGTTGAAGATGGATTTCATTGGACATTTATAGGAGTTTATAGGCCTAATGATGATGAGAGTAGAGGTGAATTGTGGGATGATGGCTTGGTGGAACAATCCAACTTGTATTGGGCGTGACTTTAATGTGATTTGATTTCTTACTGAGAGATCAAGTAGTGGGAGATTAACAAAGGCAATGGAGGAGTTCTTAGATTTTATTAGGAAAAATATGTTGGTGGACCTGCCTTTGATTGGTGGAGACTTTGCTTGGTCTTCTAATCGGGAGCAGCCTATTTTATCACGAATAGATCGATTTCTAATTAGTGGGGAATGGGAAGAGAAGTACCTAAAGGTTACCCAGAGAAGATTAGGGAGGGTGTATTCTGATCACTTCCCTATCTTACTAGCTGGGAATGCGAGGTGTAGTGTAAGAAGATCTTTCAGGTTTGAGAAGATGTGGCTAAAAGTAGAAAGCTCTAGGGAGCATGTACGGGACTGGTCGGCATCTTACAATTTCAGGGGGTCTCCCAGTTATGTGTTCGATCAAAAATTGAAAACCTTAAGGAGAGATATAAAAGGGGGAATGAGGAGGTGGTGGGAGATGTAAACTGGTGTAAAAACCAATGTATGTTAGATATAGAAGAGCTAGATAAGAGGGAGGAAAGTGAATGATTGGTAGGGGATGAAAGGGAGAGACGTGGAGAATTAAGGGAAGGGTTGGAGAGGTTGGTGGAGATGGAGGAAATAGCCTGGCGTCAGAAATCTAGGGTCAAGTGGTTGAAGGAGGGTGATAAATGTACCCAGTTTTTCCATAGAGTTGCCAATTCTAACAAGCATAACAATTTTATCACCATGTTGGTGGTAGACGGAGTTGCTTATGAAGATCCACAAGATATTGGGACCCAAATGGTGAATTTCTATCAAAACTTGTATCGTGAGCAGTTTGATTGGAGGCTAGAGTTGGAAGGGTTAGATTTCTCTACTATTACTGAGGAGGATGCAAGCTCGTTAGAGAGACCATTTGGGGAGGAGGAGATTGGGGAGGAGGAGATTAGGGAGGTGGTGTTCAGCATGAATGATGATAAAGCACCAGGGCCCGACGGATTCTCATTCTCATTTTATAAGGCTTGTTGGGAAGTGGTACGATCGGACATTGTGGATGTTTTTACTTATTTCTTTCAGTGTGGCAGGTTCTTGAGAAGTTCTAACACTACATTTATTGTGCTAATTCCAAAAAAATCGGGAGCATCAGATATTAAAGATTTTCATCCGATCAGCTTAGTTGGTGGGGTGTACAAGATTATTGCAAAGTTGCTGGCTAACAGATTAAAGGAGGTGTTGAAAAAAGTGGTGTCTAAATTTCAGAATGCCTTCGTCAAAGGGCGTCAGATATTGAAATCTGTACTTATAACAAATGAATGTATTGACTCGAGACTACGTATAGGGATTCCAGGGATGTTATGTAAACTTGATATTCAGAAAGCCTATGATCACGTAAACTGAGGATTCCTTTTATATATGCTCAGGCGATGTGGCTTTGGGGACAAGTGGTGCCGTTGGATTCACTTTTGTATATCTACGGTCTCGTATTCGATTTTGGTAAATGGCACTCCTGAGGGTTATTTCCAGAGTAATAAAGGTTTGAGGCAAGGGGATCCGTTGTCTCCATTATTGTTTGTCATTGTTATGGAGGCTTTAAGTAAGATGATTGAGAAAGCTGTGGAAGAAAGTCTGTTGAAGGGCTTTATGATTAACCAGTCACAGGTATCCCGTTTGCTATTTGCAGACGATACATTGATCTTTTGTGATGCAAAGGCTGAGCAATTTAGAAACTTGCGCCATCTATTACTATGCTTTGAAGCTATATCTGGATTGAAAATTAATTTAGGGAAATCTGAGGCCATCACAGTTGGGGATGTCGCTAATGTGGAGGAGTTAGCGGCCATATTGGATTGTAGGACTACGCAACTGCCTATGTCCTATCTTGGGCTCCCCTTAGGAGCACAGTTTAAAAACATACACATTTGAAATAGTATTGTGAAGAGGGTGGAGAGGAGGTTAGCAGGTTGGAAGCGTATGTACCTCTCAAAGGGAGGCCGTCGTACACTCATCAAGTCCACTCTATCGAATCTATCCACTTACTTCTTATCATTATTTCCTATCCCCGTTACTGTGGCAAAAAGATTAGAGATGATTCAAAGGGAGTTTCTATGAGAAGGTTTAGGGAAGGAGAGGAAACTTTACTTGGTTAACTGGGGCGTAGTGTGCTCTCCCATAAAAACGGGGGCCTCGGATTGAGGAGTCTTGTATTGTTTAATAAGGCTTTGCTGGGTAAGTAGTTCTGGCGATTCGGTGTGGAGAGGGAAAGCTTTTGAAGAGAGATTATAGAGGCGAAATATGGTGTTCTAGAGGGGGGATGGTGCTCAGTCGAGGATCGTGGTTCTTCTGCAGTGAGTTTGTGGAGGTATATACGACGAGGGTGGAGATAATTTCAGGATAGATTGACGTATGAGGTGGGGAATGGCAATACTATCAGATTCTGGGATGATTGTTGGTGTAGAGATCGGCCATTAAGAGTGGAGTATCCTTCTCTGTATCGTATTACTTTGATGCCGCAGGCTATGGTGCATGAAGTCTTATATGCGCATAATGGAAATCCCAGCTGGAACATTGTTTTGGGGAAGGGTCTATAGGATTGGGAATTGGATGATTATGCACTACTTCTGACTTCTTTGTATGAGGTGCACGTCAGGGTGGGCGAAAGTGATCGTAGCAAGTGGAGGTTGGCACGCGATGGCATTTTCTTAGTAAGCTCTTATTTTAGATCTTTATTGGAACCTGAGGAGAGTTTATTGCCATGGAAGAAGGTATGGCGTTGTAAACTGCCCTCTCGGGCGGCATTTTTACTATGGACGGTTGTGAAGATATAGGTGTTAACGGTGGATAACCTCCAATGCAGGGGTTTATATGTTACGGAATGATGCTATATGTGTCGGAGGAACGGGAAGATGATTGACCACTTGTTCATTCATTGCGATGTTGCTCGCACCCTATGGAACGATATTTTGGCTTCTCAACACATGGATTGGGTGTTTCCACAGCGTATGGAGGATGTTTTGAAGGCATGGGGGAGAAGATTTCGCAATAAAAATAGCAAAATTGTTTGGGACCTCGTCCCAGGATGCATCATTTCGTGTATTGGGAGGGAGAGAAATAGTTGTCGTTTCAACAATAATACACGGACAACAGAGCAGATTAAAGAATTGTTTTATCTGACACTATATATTTGGTTTAATGCTATGACTATTACTCGCATAGACGGGTTGACCAATTTCATGTCATTTCTGTCTTATATTAATTGATAATACACTTCCTATGTATTATCCATGATTAATAAAATATTTGATTACTTATCCAAAAAAAAAAAAATATATATATATATATATATATAATGCTCAAGGAAAAGATTAATATTTTTCTGTACAACAATGATATGCCATGAAAAGTCATTAATATATCACAAGACCAGGATGATACACTATTTGTGCATGATTTGGAAGATACGTTATACTTGTATTTAGTTTGCATCATTATTTAGATTTTACCCACTGATCAGTGCACACAGTACTTTTTATAAATAGTCTTCTGAAATTGATATACTTTTGCTTAGGTATTCAATTTGCCACCATAAAGAAACATAACAAAAAAGAAAAACCAAAACACAAAAAGGAAAACAAAATGAAAGATAAGCACGTCTTATGCAAAACCAAACGTATGCCAGACCATATTTTATAGATGATCCTATGGTAAACAAAAGGAAAAGCTCAATGATAAGAATTAAGGAAAATCACCCAAAAGGATGAAAAGCAAGCTCAAAAACCATAAAAATTACCTGGATGACACCTAAAAGGTCCTCCAAGAGCTCCATAGTTAAGTCCACCTGCAATCCGATAAAAATATGGAACTTTCAATATGTAAACAAAAGTTACAACAAAAGCTATTAAAGTACCTCCTCTTCTAAAATCGTGAGTTTTAAGAGTTATGAATTTAGTCCCTTCAAATGCAAGCCTAACTCATTATTCTTTGAAGGATAGCAAATAGCAACTTTATAGACAGGCCATTGTAAGAACCGAGCTTAGGACCTTAGCCAATTGAATCATGCCATGTTAAAACATCAATTTCATAATTAACTGGCAATGAGTGGAGAAGCCATCCAGTCTCGTACTAATCTGGAAAGCTTTAGATTAACAACATAGAAAAAGATCTGGCAGTCTCTACAAGTTAAACCCCCACTTGAACATTGAAAGATGAATGAAAATTGCACAACTAAGATGCAACTACCAAAACTAAACAAGAACAGAGTGCAGCTTTGGCACAACTAAGAGTATGATTCAACATCGGCAAAACGATGAGTAAATTGAATTCTTATAGATGGACTTCTCCAACATCCCACAGAATGAGTTTTCAGCACTCATACTATCTTGAACTACCATGGAGGAAAGAATTTTATTTGTGCATATCTTCAACACAAGCTCCCAAAATCAAAACCCAATTTGATGGTAACTGATACCTTGGCAATCACTTGAGCCATCCATGGTGCTAAGACGCCAGAGCATAGATCAATAAGGACACATGCCGCCTTCGCCTTCAAAAAGAAAGAGAGATTAAAGCAAATAATTTTTCAATTATACATCTAGCCATCAAATTTTATGAGCTGCAAAACACATAGTAATACATTAATGATGTCATAAGGTCTATTCCTTTCACCTATCTCTAAGGGAAAGATACATTTCTATTCTACGATGCTTCCCTGAGGCTTTTCATTTTCACATGCATATTCTATTAAAATACTTCTGTTTGTTCCACTAGCCTACCAAAGACATGATAAGACTAGAACCGATAAAGTTACATTCATGTCAACAACTTGGAATATCAACACAAATATCTGTATAACATTGATTTTTTCACCATTTCACTCAAAAAGTGAAATTTACCATAATGTTTTTAAACTAACAGGTTGAAACCTAAAAAAGTAATGTTGAGCATGAGTACATGAGACAGAGAAAGTAAATCAAGCAAATAAAAATTCAATAATAAACAAGGAATTTCTTCAATGTCAAAACCTTCGCATGCCTGCCTCCATGACCAACCTATCATAAGCATCACACTTGAATGAATAATAACACAAAACTTGGAATACCACCACAAAGATCTGAGGAAACATTGATCATATTTACATAGATTTATAGTAATACAAATGAAATTTATCATTGCCTGCAATTAAGCAGAAGAAACCAAAAAAGAAGTGATATCAAGCACATCACATAAGATAAGTGCTAAACTAATAGGAGGCATAGAGACATTCATAATAAATTAGAGATATGCATAGTTATGAAGACTTGTGTCTACAAAAATATCAAACACCATATATGGCTAAATTTATACCAAATTTTCAATTTCAGCTACTTTTGCATTGTCAACTATGTCTACATAAATTACAGGCCAGGTCAGGCCCATGATGGATTGGCTAGAATAATACTTATTTTATTGCACATGGACATACTTCATATAAGACAGAGAAAAGAGGAAGCATGCAGCAAAAAAATGATATTAAATTTTGGATCAATAGAAAGGACACAAAAGTAACATACATGAGTTGGTGAAAAAGAAGATAAATAGCCAGCACAAGAACGAAGCAGAGGATGGTAGACCGATGAAGACGAAGTTGCCACAATCTGCAGTTATAAGCACAATGGTTATGGCAAGTATTAGTTATCATGAAAACATTTGGCCAAAAATAATATTTCATATTCAATCAACTGAAATACCTGACTCAGGGCATTTTGTACAAAATGTTGTTTCCACGGAGAGAAATTGTCATCGATTAGGTAAGGACTACTGATAGTAGGACGCAGTGCTGCAGCAGACAAAAAAAGAATGAAGTGTTAGTAGTGATCATGAAATCCTTGAACATGCATCAGATAGATAATTTTAATACCAATGCTTTCCTTTTAATGATTAATTAAGTTGAAGTTTAGAATTATGTTTTATTGTTTCATATTCCACTCCAATCATGAAATTAGGATCTGTCACCCAATATTCTACATTCTTATACAAAATTAATTTATCTTAATAGTCCTAGATATGAAACAATAGTTGACGCAATTTTCAATATTGAATATAATTACAAATAAGTGGTTATACACATATCTTATATGAACAGGTCTTGTTTTGCAAGACAAGGAGCAGAGTTATAGGTAAAAGAAAAGCATATATACGTTTTTGGATAAAAATAAAATATAGGCTAGATAAAGAAACATTTCCTTGTCTTATATACCAGAAAGAAACATACCTGATCACACAAAAATTACCAGAAGCATGTGGAAACTTGTGCCCCGTTTGGCCCCCATTATTTGGATTTATAATGGGGGAATAGTGTTTTTTTTTTTTTTAAGATTGTGTGGTTGAAAAGTTTTCGATTTGAGTGTAATATAGGATACAGAAAAAATTAAATTAAATTAAGGAGTTTTAAAGGGGGTCAAACGGGGGCTTGATAATCAAGACCCTGTTGAAGTTGATAGTTTTCATTTTCCCCCGGATTATTGATTATTAAGATGTCCACCATAAAAAATTCTTCCAACTTAAATGGGATATTCGACAGAAAGGATAACATTGTTAAAATTTTCAGAAACAATTTACGCAGTGAAAAGACAGTGCCTGGTAAAAGCACAGGGAAAATTGTTCAACATTCTTATATGTTATACATGTAGAATGACTTCCAATTTGTTTTATTAGAGAAAACAGACTACATTGTAGTAGCACAACCAATATGTTTAAGCTTTAAGTCTTACATAACTATAAATGAACTTGATACTTCTCTAGAATCTAGTGGTTCTAGCAGGATTAAATAATTCTAGATAGCAAACTGATACTAGCTGTAGAACCTGGCAGCAACGCTTGTACTAGTGGTAATGCTGACCAAAAGTCAGAAGTTCCATCTGCCAGCTTGCCGCAGAGCAAAGGCTGTAACCACAGTTGAATTTTAGTTTTTGATTGAGGTCAAGACATAATAACTAGCAAAACCTAATTAATTTGCGTTAAGGACAACAATTTGTCTTAGTTTAACCAACCTGAGATGCACAAGCATAAAGAACATGCAAAATTCCTTCTTCAACAGCCCCAGAATCTAAGACACTAAGGTAGATAGTATCCCAATGATCATCCAGAATTTGAAACTCCTCCCCAAACAAGTTTGAGTAGTCAATTAAGGAAACATGACCACAATCCTCAGATCGTGTTGCCTCCTCAGCAACAGATGATGAAATTTCAGCAGCTGGATCAGATGCTTCTTGCATTGTCATTGGCTCCATGAGCTTCAGCAAAATTCTTGATGCCTAAAACGTGGGAAGCATCACATAAGGGGAAAAAGGCTCCAAGAGATGCACAGTTTCCAGAAGCATTGATCAACAAAACAAAAAGGAGAGGCATCCAATCTTAATTTTTATCTAATTGGTCCAAAATATAATATTTTCTTTTCAAAAACCAACAAGAATTAAATCAAAAAAATAAATAAATAAATAAAGAAGAAGAGAGAACTAAAAATAGAAAGAGAATATCTCACCAGTCTGCACAAGGTTCCAAGGCTTGAATCTCGGTAAGCCTTTCGAAGCAATGTGAAGACTGCCTCTGGACGGAAGGCCAAGTGACTAGATTTGGATAAGAACATTGATGACGTGTTGCGTGATCTTCTTGGCTGAGCATGAATAAAATAAAAAGGTACAATCAGTCATGAATCACAAGTCTCTTGCACAGTATTTATTAAACGATAGTCAAGTAAACTTTACTTGTAAAATGTATACGATCAAAATATGGAGAACATAGAAATTATTTGAATGTAGAAGAATTTTTTTTCCCTTTCTTTTCATGCCTCTAGTTTTAGAAGCATTGGAAATATAAAGGTTTTCAGTTGAATAGAACCAAGACACGGTACATGCAATGCCATTTGTTAACAATCTCATCTAAAAAAGTTTAAGTTGTTATAAATGGCTCATGTGCATTAATTTAAATCCTTATCTTCAGCATGCTTGTGTACTGCGTCCAGGTTTAATTTTGATCAAAGATCTGACAAGTGCAAAATTTTCAAAAATGGGCGGTGGTGATAATTGAACTCAGGTTTTTTGCTTGAAACTCTCATACTATGTTAACCATCTTATTTAAGAGCTTAAGTTGTTAGAAAGGAGATGGGCCACATATATCCATTTAAACCCTTATTAACACGCCCCTGCATGTTCAGACTAGGTCCAATCTTAGATCAACGGTTTGAAATGTGCACAAGTTTTATAAATGGGTGACAATAATACTTGAACTCAACATCTTTTGCTAGACTAGGGAGCCATGTTAATCAACCCATTCAAAAGCTTAAGTCGTTAAGAGTCTTCAACACCTTTATAATAATAGTAGGAGTAAAGATAACCAAGTTACTATAACTATTGCGCTTTCCTCAAAAGTTATTGCCTTAGGTACTTAGATTCAATTTTAGCAAAGAAGGAGGCTTAAAAAGAATCCATGCACAAAATAAAAGCAATTGGGAAGAAAAGGAGAAGTGCTATAGAAACTTTGCCCCTATTTGGGTTCCAGTAAAATGAGATTTGGGGAGAAAATGTGTTTTGGAATAGTAATTTTTTGGAGAATGTGTAGTTAAAAAATAAAGAAAAGTTTTGAGTTTACATGTAACATTATTTTATACGAAAATGTATGGTTGAAAATGAGTTTTGGATCTAATATATACGATAGCTGAACTGATATATGTTCCAACAGGTTCTCAAATTGCAGAAGTCCTTACTAAAGCTCTACCTAGGATTAACTTTGATGATCTGATCAACAAGCTGGACATGGTCAGCATATACAACCTAGCTTGAAAGAGAATGTAGAAATTCCAAATAAAGTTAATCCTAGGATCTAGGAATATTTTCCATACTTAGCTGCTTTATACTGTTTTATGTTAAATGAGAATTTAGGTAGGTTTTTACCTAATTTGACTTTCACTAGTTTTTTCCTAGTTTAGTGGATGAAAAATTTGTTATGTAACAAAATTACAAAATTAGTGGGAGTCTTAATTGGTTGCCTGTGTATGTATTTAACTGTATGCTTTCCTTCATTCAGGGAATAACAATAACAATAATTCTCTCTTAGTTTATCACAAACAGAAGTGCATGCATGCAGTTATACCTCAAAATTGGAGGAAACAGTCAAAGCTGTTGATAGAGGATTGGTCTTAAAAGCTTCATAGTCAGAAATATTTGCAGCCAACCTCTCATTTTCTCTGCCATGGCACAGAAAACAATTGAAAAGAACTATTTTCTCGCATGATTGTTACAATGCCAAAAATTTATCGGGTCTTTTACAGCATGGGTAGATGAAAACAAAAAGGCAATATCAAATAGAAATCAAGAAACTAAGTGCTAAAAAAAATTTAGTAAAGTGATTTATTTGATCTGTATTGTACATTAGAATAAGAACTTGATCTTCTAAGACCAAAACTTACAAAAATGAATAAACAAATTGCAGAAGTTCCTACCTATGCAAGCAAGTTCATCAAACAGGGGAACCACACAGTGGTCTTTTTCCAAATAATTAGCAGCCCTGGAAAGTAGTATAATAGGATGACATGGTACGAGAAAGATATATCTTCCTGCTTCCCTTTATTAAAAGGTCAGGTGTGAACAGTAGCAACCTATTACTCAATGCTGCATGGAAAAAATAACGAGGTCCTTTTCTCGATCCTCTTTTGACCTCTTATGTGATACACTAAATCTCTTATCAAAACTAGTTTCCTTAGAAGAGCATGAAAAGGTTGGGGACAGATCCCTCTTTGCATTTTATGGGCACTTTCACTACAAAGGAAAGGGTTCTGAGGAAATTAAATGTATCAAGTAATTTCATGCGGTCAAGATGTTTATTAAAATATAGAATCCAAATTTTTTTTATGTACTGTCCAAATTCTTATCTCGTTGCCTTTATGTTATTTTTCTCTTCTCTTCATGTTTCTGTTCCTCAGTTCTACGTCACACCTTTTAGAATTGAACTACATGCCAAATACTTTTACCAAAAAAACTTCAATAGTTAAGTAGGCCTCAGAGAAAGCTATGAAGCTTAATCTGAGCTTCAAGATACGTCATCAATGCTTGCTGCCAAAGGTCAAGGAAATAGTGATTTCTCACAAATGATCTTTCAATGTTATGGATAATGACGTAAAAATTACTAATTACACACCACAATTTTGTATTTGTACATAACTTATTGTGGTATATACATGTTTAAACTAATGGATCCCACAACTGGTTAGATACATCAACTAGCGAAAAACAAAGGATGCAGCTGAAATGCTACTATACCAACCTTTCGTTTACAATGTTAAGGATAGGATAAAAGGGACCAGCAACCATAGCAAGAAAACGCATAGTGGATTCAGGATCTTCTGGAAAGTTATTAATATCTGTCTGCACAGTTATAATATTACATGGTCAATAGAATTTCAGTTTTTAAGTGAGAATAGCATGCAATATTGTTTAGTAAATCAAGTAAATGTATACCTCAATGTATGGAAGAAACTTGACTAACCGACTTGTCACGTCTTGAAGCAACTACAAACTAATAGTTAGAAAGAAACAACACAAGGAGCTAAACCATGAACACTACAATTATACAATGTACTCTGGTGCTAGTTATTTTAACAGTGTTTCACCTGAAGATGCATATCACGAGCATCCTGTTTATGTGATACTATGTGTGGTATCAAGTAATTAGCAACTGACTGAAACTCTGGCTCCAGACCAGTAACAGGAACCCCAATCAGCTGCAATCAGGAATATAAAACATAATTTATTGGTACAACCACTCGATAAAAACAAAATATGCAGGAATAGGTTTTCAAAGGATTTCTCAAACTTGCTAGCAATGAATTGGAGAGCTCTTTTCTATGTATTATATTTTACATCTACTTTTCCATCATATATTAGGGTTGCCCTTTGATATTGCACCTCTTCTCAATAAAATATCTTCTATTTTTGTCATGAAATCAAAAGTTACTAATCATTAAGTTTCATTTCAAGTAGACAACAAATATATAACATCCATAATCTTGATTAACATCCATAATTAACTGAAAGAGACATAAAGATTCTTAAAATATAATCATAACATGAATAAGCGAGCAGGTTGATTTAACCGTGAAGAATACGATAACTCAGTGGTGAATCCTAAATGCAGCGAAAATCAATCAGCACAGCATAAGGCAAATACCGGTAACAGAGGTGCTAAAATCCAAAAGAAGGAGGTGCAGGACAGATTTAAATAAGTACCTGAATGAAAAAAATAGCTATTGGGTTTCCACGCATACAAGATATTCGAACATAGCGGCAAGGAGTGTAATTCATTGGATATATCATGTCACGTCGAGGTGCTTCACAGCGAGGACGAACTTTTACGAATGTCTCTGGCTGTCAATAGAAACATGATAAGGAGCACAAAATGATGATAGCATTATATAAAAATGCACAACAACAGCTTAATTTCAATCCATTCGATGAAATTGAGTGTGATTGTAGCAATACATTGAAGCTTTAAAAGGTTGGTATGAGCAAAGTATGTAACACGTCACCAAAGGGAAAATACCCTTAAATATTAATAAAGAACAATGTAAGTTTAAGATCGTCAACGATGAAATTAATTAAAAAATGATGAGTTTATATTTGAGGAATTATCCTATGTATATTAATTACAGAACAATATGAGCCTTGGATTCCAATTTTCTCCAAAAAGACACCTTAACGACCAAGCCCCTCTGTGCCTAAACCGCTAACTCATTACGTATTGTCCACTTTATTTGCCCTCTTATGCCTCCTAGTTCAAATTCTGGGAACGTGAGACAAAGTTGAGACGGGCGAGGGCAGTTATCCTCTCAAAGCGAACGGTACGTATGAGTTAACGACTTAGGTATCGACCTCTGTGCTCAAGTCATCAACTCATATATTATCCTCTCTAGGAGAGTATCTTATCCAATTGGTATCAGAATTCAACTTAAATCTCTCACAAAACAGAGGTCTTGGGTTCAAATCCTATACAATGTGATATAAATCCGTGAGGGAATAAGAGGGCAGATGCTCTCTTGTCCAATTTATACCAGAATTCAACTTAAATCTCTCATAAGGCAAAGGCCTTGAGCTCGATTCCTAAGGACGCCACATAAAGAGGGCAGAAACTCTTTCAAAGTGGACAGTACATAAGTTTTGGCACAAATGATGAATTATTACAGGGGCACAAAATAAAATAGTTGCTCGCTGGTCCTTAGACTTTTATGACTACCAACTAATCCTAAATTAACATGAACCACCAGAAAACATAATTAGACTTACGTCACTTAACAAAGGACCTAGTAACTTATTTTGAATTCCACCAAAACTAAGAATCCAAAAGCATCACAGGAAATAATAAAAAATAATGATTATTATCCTCTATACTCCATAATAATGCTCCCAGGAAAAAAATTACCCCCACTCTCATGTACTCTATAGGTTGCAGCCATTTAGCCTCATCACCAAGTTTGTAAGAATGATGGATGTAATGTGCAAAATATTCATTTCAATAAATTTAACCAATGTGGTCATGCCAATACGGGGAGGTGGCACCAATTGTGCTAAATCGAGAGAAGACTCAAGTTGTTGGGCCATGCCTTGTGTAGACCGAAATAAACCTTATTCACAAGAATGGTGTGATCTTGGTTGAAAGTCTTGGAAGGCATAAGTCAAAACAAACATGACGATTGAATGCAAAAGATTTAGCTGCATAGAATCTCCTAGCAGACTTAGAGATGAATTGAACCAAATAAAACAAAAATGATTCACGTAGTCGACCCCATTTAGTTGAAATGTGGCTTCATTTGTGGTTGTTAGATATGCCACATGTCCATCTAAAAAGTGTTAGCATAATAGCAAAATCAAAAACACCAATTGCACACTCGTCTTGGCAATGTCAGAGCACTTTGTATGGCAACAAGCTGAAGAATCAGTAACTTACTCTCTACTTAGCTGTTGTAGATATATTCATTTTTCTGATTAAAACAACACCAATAAACTAAGCTTTCATTTTTGTAATTAAAATAATATGGTCCAAGATAGAGCTCCACTCTTTAAAACTCTTTTTTCCCCGTACTTAATCTCAACCACACGTTCTCATTAAAATAATTTTGCATGTAAACTCAAAACCTTTTCTTATTTTCTAATTATAGACTCTACAAAAAAATCACCTTTTTACAAAATATATTCTCAAAAAATAGAGCTCAAACACGGGCATAGTTATATCATTGTTTATGTAACTAATATTTTATTATCATGTATAAACACAGCTATCCCCTTCCCATCAAACAATCCAACTGTCCTTATATGTTTGTGAGTGTGTATTACAGCATAAGGTAAAAAAGATTGGTGTGACCCTCAGTTTATAGGGATGAAGCTTAGCTTGATGAAAAAGAAATATCAATTTTTTGGACTCGTTTCTTGGACAGTAGGACCTAGTAATTAATGTAGGCCTCGACACAAAAATCTAAAAACGCTATAGGCTATTTTTGGACATATTTTTGACCAAATTAATATTAAATATGTTATTTGAAGTCTTGGCCCAATTTTTGTTTGAAATATCGAAAGTATTTATGAAGTTCCTATGAATCTATTGAGCAGGAATTGTTTAGTTAGAAATTTGAAAATGGCCTAGTTTTTGGAAAGTTAAAAATTGTATGGTTGTAGGAATTAATAAGCAATTATAGTTTTTATGATTTTAGATGTTTGATATGCATGATTTTATTGTTTATAATAAAATTTAGAATAATAAAATAATATTAAAAATAAGAAAAAATTCATGTCTAGGATCGTAAATCTTGAAACTTGACCTTACCGCCTAACCACACTTTACATATTTTGAAATACTAATTATTAATATTCATTTTTAATGACTCATAAGACAATCTTGTACCTCAAGTTCCCAAACGGTGTTGCTCTTGCACTCCCATTACCGCACAAAATTGATTATCTAAACATTGACTACTATAGACATTTAATTGACAGTTGAGAAGAACTGTGAAGAAAATCATAATTTCACAAAGACAAGCCATTGTTGGTTAGAATTAGTGTAACTAATTCAAAATCAAATCTCTATATCCAACTTAAAATAAATAAAATTTAACAGATGAGCTCATCTTCATCAAATTAATGTTACACTAACCTTGTAACGCAAGCCAACTGAAATTTCCCACTCCAACACAGACTTGTTATATATCCTTGTGTGTGAAAGCAGACATGGTTCCTACAAACAAAAACAGGAGAACAAGTGATGACAGTTGTTTAGGTAATGTTCAATAAGCAAGCAGCCATCAATATAGATTTATCATTTAATTTATCTTAAAAGTGCAAAAGAAGGCATGATCCATACAATTAACAAAACAGGATAAACTAAAAAGAATTGTAATTTCTACAATTAAAAAACCATGATATTCTTTCAAGTAAAGGTCTCTCCCTAAAACTTCCAGCAGTGTGAGAAGGCAAATGATGGCTGCATTTAATTACCATTTAGATTCATTGCTGGTTTAAAACCTTCAAGTTAGCCATTGAATTAACACCAGATATAGAGAATAATTATGTGTCCTCAAAGACTCTGTTTAGTGGATGAGTTAAACTTAAATCCTTTCTTAACTAGCTTGGATACACAAGTGTATAAGATGGAATCATTAACTACAACTTTAAATATCAATTGCCTTCCCCTACATTCCCATGTACCCAAAAGGCTGTAAATGTACCTGCCGCTGGGATGGAGTTATTTCATATTTCACGGAAATAAAAGGTCAAATCGACGACCACAAACTTTCGTAACTATCCAGGAAAACTAAAGGATGTCTCAGCGTGTGAAAGTTTTCTTGACAAAGAACTAATTCAAAACAGTATATAATTATATAAATGAATGTTACAAACATTTAATTACATTTTGTAAGCTTACAAAGAAATGAAAAAAATAAAATCATCTTCTACTAGTGAGATTAATGTCACTGAATGTCTGGTCTATGAATATATGTGAATCTATGATCATGATTTCCACTTTTGCAATTTTTGAAATAGCATAACACGAGAGCTGATTTCCCTTCAAATTGTCAGCTTGCTGATAATCTGAGGAACAATAACAAGACTTCCAACGAATTTCAACTCTTCACCGTTCACTTTTTAGATCATGTGTAGCTACATATTTAAAAAAACTTTACCCACCTATTTACAGATGGGGTATATCTCACTAAGATAGATATGTATTATGATCTAAACTAGAAAAGAATATGTCCCTTGATCAATAGATGGCTTTCTTCTCTTACATTCATGTAAGGCATACTCTACACATGCTAAAGTTGATTACTGGTGATTCTAACTTCATAGATTAAACATCGGTAGATCTCCTTTTTAAAAAAAATAAAAAATGAGGTAAATTTTGCACTTGGCCCAAAAGAGGAAATTCCTGAACATCCATCACATTTGAACTTCAGAATAACTTACCGTACTCTTGAATAACAATTCGGTTCAATAGCACAGTAAGAATTAAATTTCCCATAACTTACTACTGCAAGTCATAATATCAATAACTTATTATCATTTCAATGTAGTTAACCATTCGACAAAAGAATACACTCGTTAAACTTAGTGTCAACTTCGACTTGGGGGCTTAAACACAGATACTGGTACCGGCAAAAGATTCTCTACTATTGCTAACTGAGAACGGAACTCCGGGCGTTGTAATAATAAATTCAAAATCCAATGACATTTATTAATTCCAACTCGATGGTACCAATCACCGCCTAACCGCAGAAAAAAACAAATTAAAATTGAATCAGTGGCTTATTTTCCTGGCTAATTCAAATTGTAAACCACCCCACAACATGCAACCTTAATTCCAATCAGTTCAAGGAAAAAACAAATACCCAGAAGGAGTTTCACTGAAATAAGCTAAAAAGGAAGTTCAAATCCCAAAACAAAAGCAGGGAAAAGTCGCAAGTTATGTAAACAGGAATTTGACTTACATCGAGTTCGAGTAAGATCCATTCCTTTGTGTTGGTGCCAGTTGACCAGTGGTTGCGTAGGTCAGTGTCGAGTACATGAGTGGCCTTCTGGGCAGTGGATTCCCTTGACATGGCCTTCACTTTGTAGGCCAATGGCTTCACTCTCGGCTCCATCTCCACCTCCATCTGTGGCTCTCTATCGATAATTCCCTCAGTCTGTCGGTGTAAATGGATTTTCTGCAGAGTACAAGCCTACAAGGGGGGAGAACGCCGGAACTGGGTTTCGCAAGGATTTGGACACGGTGGACTCAGTGGGACTATTATATCACGGCAGAATTTTGAGGGCACTTCTGAGTTTTGAAGCCGGATCAAGCCCTTTGTTACAACTTACGAAAGTGTAAAAGAATGAAAAATTGCAGGCTAGTCCCTGTCTTATGTCTTGTATTAACTTTCCCTTCAACTTTTTTTTGGCTACACCCATAATCCCCCAAATTATTACTTTGGAATTTTCTAGAATTGCAAGCAAGAACTCCTTTCTCTATTTGATATACCTATTTGAGTCGAATGAAAGAAAACTTTTACATTCGATTTTGAAGGTAGAGATCCTATTTTATGCTAAAATGTTTAAATTATGGAATCTCATCGTGCTTAAAATATACTTTTATAAATGTGTAATTAATGAAACATGCATTCATTAGTTGCTAGAAAAATTTAAGGCTAGTTTAGCAATCTTTGAAAATGCACTATTCAGACTTTCCATCTTTTAATTTTTATTGGACTCATGTGAAATTTGCTAAAAATATAGTGTTGATGTATATCTAAAGTAGAATACTTGATTAAGCTCTTACTTGGTGTAATTAAAAATTAAATTTTTAGTAAATTTTGATAGAAATTAATGAAATATATAATTGAAAAGTTGTCAATTCTATAAAAAGCGTGATTAAAAATGAATTTTAAAAAAAAATTAAGACTAAAACCTAACAAGGCTTTACTTTATAAGAAACGTTTTTTGTTTGGTCAATCTTTAATCCATGAAAAAATTTCTCCTTTTCTGCTCAAAACATGTCTTTATGTATAATAGTAACTCGAGTGACTATAGAAGAGACTAGATGTGAGAAATTAGATTCTAAAGCTCATGGTAAGTTTTGTTGAATTAGACTGAACTTAAGATTGAGTACTCTAATCAAGAATTTTTTATTTCTAGTCTACTCTTTTTATCAAAATGAAAATTTTCTTCCCCAAATTATTTTCTTGAATATGTCTATTCCGTTAACCAAAATAGTTGTAGGGCCATTTTAATGAAATATTTCATAGACAAATTTAGGCAAATTTGACAAATACGATTGCAATATCAAAATAGATTAGTTTTCTTGTCAATTTCACTTTTTTTGACAAGAATGGTTGGATCAAAATTCGTGCAATAAGTCTTCGCATCATTTCGAAGAGCGGAATACCAAATACGAGTAGCTGCAACAAAACTCAAACATAACTTCAATCGCTTGTCAATGAAAATTTGAGTTAGAGATGAGACTTCGGTTATGTATTTCCTTGACACTCTCCCTCTTCTTAGTTAGATTTCAGAATAATAATTTCTCTTAATTTACCAACTAATGGAAGCAAGAATATTTACCATTTAATATAAAAAATTCAAAGCACTCTAACATTAAAAATTTTAAATTTATTAGTTTCTGTTACACTAAAAAAAGTATTCGTTATGAATGAAAGACATAAATCTTGGCAAGTTCTTGTTGAAACTTGTGTATATCTGCCTTAGCCTGTTCCCTTTCTTCGTCACCGCTTGTACAAGTTAAAATCTCGCTTTTCTCCAATATTTTCTTCTCGATGCTTTTAATGCCTAGCTGCATCTTCAATTGGATGATCAAAATATCATTTAACATCCTTCAATTTCATCGATCCAGTTCTTGCCCTCTGCGTTACTTATCAGCATTCAGAAAACTCCATTATACTCAAGGAATGAAAGTTCAGTTTACTAAACAAGGATGGAAATGATGGTATTCCCGCGAAGAGAAACCTAACAATATTCACATTTGTCTAAATTCATCGTTCAGATTAATGGATTAGGTACTACTGATAAACCATAATCTGGAGATAATTGAATAACATCGTAGAAATTCTCAATGTTGTTCACTCCAACACACGAGGCTTTTTAGAAAGTGGCAAGAGGATCTTGAAACATAACATAGCCTTTTTGTTTACAATCTTTGTAAGACTGAACTAAAAACTCTATCACACTCAGGATACTTTTGTTAGATTTTTATACTATAAATATAAAATTTGAAAGAAATAATCAATTTCAATGAAGTGTCTAAGTGGTGGAAAATGTGGCATTTGTATGGAATGTCGAAGTTTCGGGTCACTTCCCACGCAATAATTAAAGGGCAACTTACAAAAATACTCAAAAATTAGATGTGTTTTGAAAAATCATATGAAAAATATTTTGGAAGGAAAAAATACTTTGTAAAGTTAAGTGTTACTTTTTTTTATTAAAAATGTCACTTTTTTACATACAAATTAAAAAGGTAAAAAAGTAAAGTACAAATTAAAAATTGATTAAAAAAATGACAAAAAAATAAAAACTGATAAACACTAAAAAGTGACATATACTTAAAATGTGATATAAATTGAAAAAAAAAAGTGACAAACATTTGAAAAAAGTAACAAAAATCCAAAGAAAGTGACATACACTCACAAAAGTAATACAAATTTTAAAATTAAAAAAAAAGTGAGAAAAGTAGAAAAAAATGAGAGAAAACATTCGAAATAGTGACAAAAAATCAAAGAAAGTGACGTACACTAAAAAAATTGCACAAATCCAAAAAAAAAAGGGTGATGAACAATTAGAAATGTGACAAAATTTTAAAAAATTGATAAGCATTCAAAAAGTGACAAAAATTCAAAGAAAGTAACAAACACTCGAAAAGGTGACAAAGTTCAAAGAAAGTAACGTACTCTGTGTGCATCTTGGCGAGAAGAGGGTAATACCAAATTTTTGGGTATCGGGAGTTTGAATTGGGTTTTATGGTTTTGATTGTTTAGAAAGTATTAATTACATGATTAAATTATTTAATTAGTTTATAGGGTATTATTCAAATTAGTTATTTTTGGGAGGTAGTGGGCCTAATTTTCCCATAATTAAAGTCTTTGATTGGAGCTTTGGCCTTGGGCTTCTTTGACTAAAATAATTTTTTTATTTATTTTCGGAACCATTTAATGGATCAAACTAACTAGTATAATATAACCATTTTTTAACAACCTATTATCCATTACCCAGTAAATTTTGCAAATATTTTTAGATCATTGTAGAGATGATTGGATCCATTCTGCCTATATGTACACCCATCTCGTTTGCAAAAGGATCATAAAAAAAAAAAAACAAAATCATCAAAAAAAATATCATAGTTTCTCATACTTTGAAATTATATCCTCGATTTTTATTTTTTTTTACATTTTTCTAGAGTACATTTGAGAGTTCTAGGAAACCATTCGTGATTGCTGTATAAGTGGTTTGTGATTATTGTATTCTGAGAGTAATTATCCACAAAATAACGAAATCATCAAAAACAATATCATAGTTTCTCATACTCTGAAATTATATCCTCAAATTTTTATTTTTTATTTTTACATTTTTTTTGGAGTACACTTGAGAGTTCTGGGAAACCATTCCTGATTGCTACATAAATGTTTTGTGATCGTTGTACTTTATGAGTAATTGTCCACAGAGGTCGCAGCAATTATCATCGGACAATTTCATTTTAGGATATCGTGATGTTACGAAATTCGAACAATCGATAAGTTTTATTTCTTCACTTTATTGTTCTTCACGTTATTGCAACTAATTCTTTTTTCAACCATAACAACTTTACATGAAAAAAACTAGAAGTACAAATAAAAATTTTATCTTCTTGATAATAAAACTAAATGATACATATGATTCAAGTGTACTTGAACACTTTGAATTCATGGTTATGAGATGATAAATAAAAATCACATTTCTCAAGAATCGCGTGAATGACCGTTCCAACTCTTCCATGAATCTAGAAATGGCAATTTGAATCGTCAAAATCGAAAATCGCGGTTAATCGAATCGAATGGAGCAAAAAAACTCGAATCAATGGTGCAATGGGGCGAATATGATTTTGATTTTAATGAACCGGTTCGTAATGGTGCGGGTATGGTATTTACGTCGTCGAACCGATTACCCGCTAAAAAAAATATAAAAAAAACACAATTAAATTGATTATGGGCTTTACACTACTTTTCTATCCAGACCAAAACAAAATCCCTCCCCTCCTCATTACATCTACCTGACTCATTCGGCCAGCCCACTTACCATTAGCCTATAATAGCAATAGTATGACAGTATATAAATACAAATCCTACTCTCCACAAACCACAAACTCACGCACGGCTCCACTGCCTCTATGGCCCAAGTCGGCGTCACCTCCAAAAATTTGTTACATTTGTTAGCCATTCTATTACTGCTGATCATGTAAAAACAGAGTTCGATATTTTTCTAGACGTGTCAGTATTGTCAAGGATAAATAGGAATAAACTTTGAATACTGATTTATGCTAGTAAGACTTGTAGGGAAGAATAAATCAAGTAACTTCGATGCACAACAATTAAGAATGAAGGAAAAGTTTAGTATTCTTATATTTATAATATTGTTTGTTAAATTTGTATTTACAATTGAAAATTAGGATAATGTTTGCATTTACATTTGGAATAATGTTTGATAATGTTTGCATTTTTGTTTGGAATATTGTGTTTTTATTTTCATTGACTTTTTTCATAAATTGTTTTATGTCAATTTGACGGATGAACCTATAAAAAATAATTTATTTTCATGGTTATTAACCGAACCAAATTACGTGGTTATGGTATGGTCAAAAAATTGGTGGTGCGGTTATGATTTTGACCGAACCAAACCATTGCCAACCCTACATAAATCTCTGGCATTTTCATGCTTATGCCTATCAAGCCATTAAATACACAAAAGGCTACAAAATTAATTCAACATTGTGATGGAAATTTCAAAAATTGATGTACTTCTACATACCATTAACATGAGTAATTTCAGGAAGTCTTTTGACAACAAATGCAACTATCAAGAGATTGAAAAAATGGAGAATTTAAGAGTTGCATTGGATATATAGAATCTAAAAAACATTACCATTAACATTATTTCCATAATAATGGCCACTTCTTTCTCCTTGAAATCCAGATGTTTCAACTAGATAATTTGAAACAAGATTCTCATCACTCCATAACCCAAGTCCCGAACAATTGGATCGATAAAGGGATCGTTCGAATCAAAAGTATTATCAAATCTAGTACACTGTTCCAAATCAAGATATTTAGGGAGACCAAAAGTGGGCTTTCTACTAAGAATGGAGATTAATCAATGAAGGTAATATCATCTCCAGGATCATGATAAGGAACAATGGCAGTTAAGTCCTCCATTGGGAATTTTCTTGGAGGTGGGGGGAACAATGGCGGGGTGGCGACGCCTGGTGTACACCAAGTGGCCCCATATTGGTGCTTGAGAAGGGAAAACTATGGGACAAGTACAATTTGATCGAAAGAGTTGGGATGTGAAAAGGAATGAGATAGGAGGAAAGATGGACCACCTAGGGCCTCTAAATTCTCGGGGTCAGCCTTGCATGAGTTTCTGAAATTTTAATTAATCCGTCTTGATATTCCGAGTAAACCAATGAGATTGGATTTGTTTCTTTGCTCTCATGCTTTTCAACTACAAAAAATTGGACAACACTAAGGCAATTATTCAAGCACCTCTTAATACTCAATAGCATGTTATAGTGTTTATCTACCCAACACTGCAAATTAGTTGGACTTTTGCAATGCTAGGAGGGAATACCATAGTTGTTCCTTTATAGTATATTCTAGGAGGATGGTACTTTCCAACTGCCAAAAAAGGCCAAAGTTTGCAACAACAAAAATGGTACAAATAACAACATGTCAAAAGGGAAGTTGAGGTTACTGGAGTGGATGTAGGAAGGACCAAAAAAAATATCTACTGGATTGATACATGGAAAACTAACAGTAAAATGTAAATGGGCTAGGTGTGCTTGAATATATTTTACAGTGGAAATTACATAAAAGCCTACGTTTAAAGATCACATTTCATAAATCATAGGCAAAGATTACTATTTCAAAAATCAGATTTTTTTAAAGATAATATTATTATATAAATATATTATTAAATTAAATTAAATTACAAAACAACCCTCAATTTCCCAAAATTGTTCTCGCTCTCTCTCGTTTCTCATTGTCGCCTGAAAACAGCCGATCGTAGAGGGAAATCAATCGTCGCTCCAATCATCGTTCCATCAATCGATCACCTGAAAACAACCACTTATAGGATCGCCATAAACTATGCATCTGTGCGCAAGACCACCTTGGTGCTCTATCAGCTATCGCATTTAGATCCATCAAATCTTTGATAAAAAATTAGAATATAAAGCCCCAATCAAAGAAACCCTAGATGAGGAAGCCAGAATACATGAGGAGCCAGTAGTGGTGGAAGAAGATTGGTGGTTTTCGTGCTTTTTATTTGTTTTTCTGGTTTGAGGAAGAGTGGTGGCTTTTCTCGTGCTGTGACAATTGTTGGTGTTGCGGTGGTGATGGGGTGCTACTATGATGTTGTACGGTGGTGATGCTGTGAGGCAATGGTGGAGGTGCGCAGTGGCGATGGTGGGTGCTTTTTTTTTTTGGTGACGATTTTATTGAGTTTTGGGTGTTTTTGTTGGCGATTTATGGTTTTGTGAACATTACGGTGGTGGTGGCGATTCAATGGTGGGTTGTAGTGGTGTTTTTACAGGTGGTGATGGTGGTGACATAAGCATTGGGTGGCGTTTTGGTGGTGACATAGGCATTGTGGTGGTAGTGGCAGTTCGGTGGTTGTGCGATTGCCTTTTTGAATTTTTTGGGTGACTGTTTTGTTGGTGTTTAGGTGGCCATTGTGGTTTTGTGTGGTCTGGTGTTGGTAATGATGATAATGATGGCAGTTGTGGTGGTCCGTGACGATAGTCGTGGGTGGGATGAGATCGGGTTGGATGTTTGTGACCAATTATTTGGTTAATTGTGATTAATAATTGGTTAATTTGTAATATGCGACCTAAAAATTGTGGCTGTGACTCATAATTGATTAAGTTGTAACCGAAAAATTAATAGTGACAATTAATCTAATAATTTGCTATGAATAAATAAGTTGTGATCAATAAAAGTTTTGATTCCGTGATCAATGAATAATCTATGATCTATAAATTTTTTGATTCGTGTCTGAAAAAATATGTGACCTATAAAATTTTTAATTTGTGACCGAAAATAAGTTGTGACCAACAATTTGATAAGTTGTGACTAAAAATTAATCCGTGACTAAATAATTTTCTGATTTGTGACTGATGAACAAACTGTGACATAGAAAATTATTGAATTGTGATCGTAAAATAATGTGACATAAAATTTCTGATTTGTAATCAAAAAATAATAAGCGACTAATTAAATTGTTCATTTGTGACGAAATTTTATAGATTTGTGACCAAAATATAATTAATTAATTAATTAAATCATAAATAATTTTTTTTTTTAAAATCTGATTTTTAAAATTTGAAACTTTTTTTTTGTAATTTTGAAATATGTATAATTAAACTCTTATTTATGAAATCTTTCCTATATTATATACATGGTCTTGATTAAGGGCTAAGACCATCCATGGCCACTTTACATTATATGTAGTATCATTATGACCATCCAACTTCATATAGTGTTTCAGTCAAATCACTTAGTTAATGGGCCACCATTTATTTAACAAAAAATCCTACGTGGAATAACAACTTGCCAATGTGTCCATTTAATGTGTCCTGCTTAACGAAAAATCCTACGTAACAATGCGTTTTGATCGAATATTAAGCATTACAAATATATGCGTACTTATACGAAACATATTCTTAATTATGCGTTTTTCAAATTTTAATATTATTTTAAGTATTCTAAACTAATAAATAAATAAAATAATGCACTTTATATATATATATATATATATTACTCAAATTTATAAAAACTATTACTATTTGAACTTTATACATATCCTTCAAATTTTTAGCAAAAACACACCATTCAAAATCATAAATACTACAATTACTTAGTAATTAATTCTTACAATTAGGTTAGAAGCGTACATCTACTTAAAAATAAAATAAAAAAATTCTGAATCTTGTCTAGCTCTTTGTTGAATTCCAATTTAATTTCCTCTTCTTCATCAAATTCTTCTTCCATGTCATCCAATACAAAATCATTTTTTATCAGTCTCCTTTATTTCAACTCGAAAATCTCTATTACCTCTTGTAGATAGTAAGATATCATTATCAACCTCAGCATCTCAATCACAACCATCAACAATCTAAGATTGTGCATTATTAGTACCATTAGCTTGTAAAAGTAGAGGAATACAAAGGAAAGGAGGGGCTCGGGCTCGGAGTAGATGGTTTGTAACTCAATGAAAAATTTGTTTTGATTTTTGATTTTTCTAAAAGTCAAAACCCTAAGATTGTTGTATATAATTCATGGGTTTGGATGATTTGAGTGAATTTGATATTTGTTGGGCTCAATTTTCTTGTTTGAGTTATAAAAATATGTTGAACTTTACTACGCTAATTTTGACAATTTTTATAACAAATGCTTACGTATTTTAACATTTAAGTTTGATTATTGATTACGTTCAAGGTACAATGCAATGATTGTAGCATAGCCTTGGGGTGTCAATTCCACAGGAAGATGGGAAATGCTGAAAGGATTAGAAGCTTAGCGGTTTCGAGAATTATGTGAAACTAGTTTATCAATTTTGAATGAAATTTAAATATCAATATGTGAAATTAGTGAAGTATTGAAATTCCCTCAATTGGGTTGGATCGATCAACATCAACAATTCATGTATTATTACTCAATTAGATGTTTTTATTCCAACTCTCTAATCGGAAGATTTAACAGTCAAGATCACTTTAGTTCCAATTGTAATTCTAAGATTTAGACTTTCTAGCACATTCCCAAATTGTTATTGGAGTAAGATCAAAAGTAACCATATACTTTAAGCATAAGATCATAAATAACCCACCAATAACATAAATGAAATTGCAACTCAATAAATATTTCGATCTAACAATAGAAAAAACATGATTGAATTTATGAAAGATCTAATAAAAATTAAACCAATTTCAAAATCAATTCATAAGGAGAAATTCTAAAATCTAGAATTGTTTGACAATAAAATACCAAATTACATGAGCAATTAATATGATTTCCTCAAATCCAATAAGTTTCTTCCAAGTTTCACCAAGGGTTTTAGTTCTTCATGGAACTTTTGAGCTAAAAACCAAAGAAAATTGATTTGAAGATGAAGAGAGGCATTTTCTGTCCATTCTAGGGCTTAAAATCACGTGCCAAGTTATTTCCGAAAGAGGTTGAACCAAATAAGGAAACTAAGTTTTCGGCTAGAATATTCTGTGTGACTACTTTCAGTATTTTGACCATAACTTTATCTCCTAATGTCCAATTAAGGCAATTCAAAGTGCGTTGAAAAGTTAACTCAAAGGATAAATTTTTTCTAGAATAGCTTTTTCCAAATTCTAATGTTTACTATGTCAAAAGTGGACTTCAATCTCTGGCTAAAAATTTGGAAAATCTTTATGCGGTTGGAATTTGATTTGTGAATACATTATGGTTATATTTAACTTCTTTTGACTTCTAATTGCATCCATTAAACTCCTAACTTTCTCAAATCATCATTCCATCGCCCGTCTCGTCTTTAGATTATTTGCAACTTGATCCCCAAACTTTCACTTTCTTCCATTTTGGTCTTTTTTCGCTCTTTTCTTCTAAATTTCACATTTTCTACCAAAATACAACCTGAATCAAAGCATAAGTATAATGATTGCATTTTGGTATCAATTAATCACACCAATGCAATAATTAAGAGAAAATATTATATTTTACACTCTTATCACACCCCCAACTTGCTTATTGCTAGTCCCTAACAATTCAATGCAAAACAAGTAAACGAATTATTAGACTGTGGTACAAATAAAATTATTAAGTATCAATTTAACCACATGTCATATCCCTTTCAAACTCAACACCACAAGAACTTAACAATGCCATGATCTTCAAGATATCAAAAACACTTACCAAATGTATAAGTGTGTGTCAAGTTATAGCCATCTTACCGCCAACCCTAACACATGCAACAATAAGTATGTCTCAAGCCGAAGGTTGAGCACCATAACTCACAAGGTATCAAAGTGTTTAGTGTGGTTTTCTCTTTCTATAGAGCTGAGAAATGGTATACATTCATAACTTAGAGGTTTAAATATTTTTGAATAATCAACAAACAAACATTGATCTTGTGATAGACACACTATCAACTGAGAATTCATCAACTTCTTACCACAACCCTACTTAGGATCAAAACGGCCAATGCAAAAGATTGTAATGAGGATCAAGTTGGGCTATGTGTATAGAATGGTAAAAGGAATTCAAGGACTTCCAAGTACGTAGTCAGGCATTTCATCAAGTATTTCCATAGATCAAATCATTTACAAATGCATTCCTCAACCTTTCAATTCTCAATAGCAATTCACTTTCTTTTTCTTTTTCTCTTTTTTCATCAATTTTTTTTTAATTCCCTTTCTTCTTCTTTAAGATTCATCACTTCAACTGAGCACTTATCAACTCTTATCACTTTTCTTCTCAAATGACATTCAATACCTACTATACACTTGGAAGCATAAAGGTTTGAAAAATGAATGTTTGTAGAATTTATTACGATGTGAAGAGGTATGGATAACATAGGCACATGAAAAGAAATAGTTATATGTGTATTAGCTCAGAGTGGCTACCAGGAGATTATAATTATGAAGAGAGAAGAACTAGGGTGAATGCTCAACTTCAGTCCTAAATTGACGGTTATCATTTCCCAAATATAATCCATCGTCATACCACAATACGTATAATCTTATTCTCAGAGGAAGTTTCCAATTTACAAAATCAAGGAATGCTTATTACCATTTTTAGTATATATGGCTCTCAATCCTCACCAATTCTCTCATAAGAAAACTTCACTAAGAGACTCCTCTAGCTATATGTGTTAAATCACTATCTTACCACAAGGCTTGTGTGAACAAAATGATTCAACATCCAAACTTTCATAAACAAAATTAATTTCTAGTGGCATCTATTGTCATTAAAGAACATGTAGAGAATTAGAAACTTAAAAAAAAAAATTAGACCAATGAACAAAATTGAAGCCAAAATTCCATGAAGTAATGCAATTTACAACAAAATCCACGTGAAACTCTCCCCCAAACTAAATGTTGCATTATCCTCAATGTAAAAACATGTCTGCTAAATCAAAATAAAGAAAGATGTCAACTGAATACCAAAGTGAATTAACATAAGCTGAAGTAAGAGAAGCATGAAAGTTCTCAATAGAAAGGATAATGCAGAAAATGAAAATAAACTAGAATGCAGTGAATAATGCATGTGATGCAAATAAACCTAACAAATGCAGAAATAATATAAAAGAAGGGAAAAGAACTCCCCTTGGGTTGCCTCCCAAGCAGCGCCATTGTTTATTGTCGTTGACTCGACCCAATGTTTGTTTCTTTAGTCCTCATCCAGCTAGGGCGTTGTCAACACTCTTTGCATTGCACCAAGCTCGGTGGTAATAATCGTCGATGATGTTCCACAATCCTGCAAATCATTAAAAACAGCACAAATATTAGCATATTTTCCATCATCCTACCTTGCTAGAATTTCAGAATTAAAAAAGAAAAGAGTTTAAAGGGTTGGCGTCAATAATTGCAGGTGCTTCCTCTTGAACGAGTGCATCAATCAAGAATGTTTGATGACACTTGTCATCCTCCTTATGTTGCTTCATGATGTGAAAGATGTTGACGTCCAGGGTCATATTCCCAAATGATAGTTTCATTAGACCATTCTTGCAACTGATAAGAGCATTAGCCGTGGCAAGAAAAGGTCTACCAAGAATTATGAGAATTTTGGAGTTAACATTCACATCAACTTTTAGGTCCAAAATCAAGAAGTCAATAGGGTAGTAAAATTTGTCAACTTATACCAACACATTCTCAACTACTTCCCTAGGCCTAATAGTGGATCGATTAGCCAATTGTAAACTTACTGATGTGGGTTTCATCTCTCTTAGCCCTAACGACAAGTAAATATCACACGACATGATGTTGACACTAGCTCCTAGATCAAGAAGGGCTTGTGAAATCTCATGGCTCTTGATGATGCAAGAGACAGTAGGACAACCAGGGTCCTTATACTTTGGTAGAATCTTTTGCTCAATCACAATACTCACATGTTCAGTCAAAAAAATAGATTTCTTGACACGGTGTTTCCTCTTCATAGTGCACAAGTCTTTTAGGACTTTAGCATATGTGGAAACTTGAGAAAACACGTGCAAAAGAGGCAAATTGATTTTTACTTGTTTAAGATGCTTTAGGATTACATTGTGTTGAGTAGTTGACTTCGAGGTAGATTTGAAGGCTTGAGAGAAATGTACCCTAATTGGAGCTTCTACTACTTTTTCACTGGGGTTACTCTCATTAGGCTCACTTAAATCTTTTTGGTTATCCCTAGATTGAAGGGCTGGTTCAATGACTTTCCCAAATCTAGTGGTTATGGCATTTACTTCCTTAAAGTTGGTCTCTCCCGATCCCGAAGTTTGTGCCATGTGTTGTCCCTTTGGATTTGATTGAGCTTGAGCTAAAAAAATTTCACGTTCCCCTACAGCTAAGGCATTGGTTAGTTTGGACACGTGATTCTTTATCTTTTTATTTTCCTCAACTAACTAGCCAATCATAGTCTCAAATTTTTATTTGTTTTACCATGTGCCTCAATAAATGCATGTAAAGTATCTTCTATGGAATTCCTATAAGATGTGGGTTGACGTGGGGAGTGCATTGTAAGCTCTATTGGGTTGGGCAGGTTGTTGGTTTTCAGACTTCCAGCTAAACTTGGGGTGATTTCACCACCCTGGGTTGTAAGTCTCAGAGTAAGGAGAATAGGACTTTTGATATGCGCCTAGAGCATTACAGTGTTCCTCATAAAGTCCTGCAACGCGATTTATGTAACGTGATTTTATACCGCAAGCGTACGGTGACAAGTTTTGTAGTATATTAAGGAATTGAAAAGTGTCGAACCCACATGGATTGATATTCGACTTCCACTGAGTACTATAATTATATCTACATTTATTTTATCTAGACAATCGAATGAAATTGATGTTTGAATGCTAAACTAATGTCGATGAATTTAATAATGCAAGAAAAGTGAGGCAATTTCTAAAAATTAAATCAGAATTTCGTAAAATCTAGGGAGTGATTTCACCGTACTATCAACATAATTCTCAACCCCTATAGATACTTCCATTAATTATTTCCCGAATTCATAGGAAAGAATCTTAAATTAATTCTATTTCCCCCTCTCGAGTGTCAATATAGAACCTATCTCTATATTTTAACCCCAATATCTCTATTCCGAATTAAATATATAAAGATTATCACACACTTGGTTCTTGTTTTACCCTCAAAGATTCGCACTTTCTCTCGAAACCTACAAATCTAGGTTATATTATTCTTAGATCATGCCTAAATTTCCCTCTCTCGAGCGTTAAATTTAGAGCATCAATTCATTCAATTGGAGATCAAGCAACTGAAAGCATTAAGCAAGAACAATACAAATCAATTTTGGAAAATTAAATGAAAATACTATAAAGAAATTAAATCATGTCTCAAATAGGTTACATCAAACCCTAGATTTAATAGTTTAGTTCATGATTGAGAAGAAAAACACAATAAAATACAAATTAAATCGCATGGAGAAAAGAAAGATAAGAAAAACTCAGTTTGCTGCTTGATTCCTTCTCCAAATCCGGTGATTCTTCTCTCAATTCGTGTATCTCTTTGCCTCTACTTCTTCAGCCGTCCAACCTCTTGAAATTAAGTCTTTGGAATGTATTTATAGCGTGTAGGAGTTTTGGAAAGATTTGGGGATGAGTTGGGCCGAGAAAGAATGGTAAAAAACCAAAAAAATTATTCCAGCAAGGCGGTGCCTAGGCGCTGCGATTTGGGTGCCTAGGCGCTGACTTTCTGTAAATAATTACAGCGACATGGCGCCTAGGCACTAAGGGATAGCGCCTGGGCGCTCGTGACCACTTCGGTTGCACTGCACAGTTTTCAGTATTTTTATCATAATTCTTTCTTCCGATATCCGATTGAGGTGATTCAAGATGCGTTGAAAAGGTAATTCAAAGGGCTACAACTTTGCTTCAGTCATTATTCTCTAATTCGATCGTTTGCTATGTCGAAAATGGGTCTGAATGTGAGACTAAAAATCCGGTGCAAAACTTTTCGGTTGGAAAATGATTTATGATCATATCTTGACTAAATTTGATCCCTTTGACATCTTTCTTCATCCAATTGGCTTCCAAAACTCTCAGATCTTCATTCCAAGTTTCGACACAACTTTTGATTATGTGCACCTTAGTCCTCGAACTTTAGATCTCTTACATTTTGGTCATTTCATCTAATTTCACCAACTTTTGCCTATTTCTTTCATTTGGCTTCTTTTATCACTTGTTTCTCCACTTCATCCATCCTTCAAAATAGCATGAAAACCACATGTTAGCACCTCTAAAATACATGAGAATCAACTAATTAATCAGCTTAATGGCCTTGATATGAAGAGTGAAATATCACTCATCAAGTCTCTTCATCTTAGCTTAAGTGTAACACTCTTGTGCTGGGTGATCACTCCCTCCACATGCAAAACAAGGCTTTAAACACTCAACACGTGAAACAGATCGAGTGGTTGTTGAATCCTTAGCATGCAGGCTTTCAAGTTCTTTAGTGAGGGTTTCTACCTTTGTTCTAAGGTTATCTTCCTTCCTAAGATGATAAATACTTGTGCTATTCGGGTTTCCAGTGTGTCGTGGCCTATTAATACTCTCAGTGGCACTAGGTCCAGTCCAGGTATGCGCTTTCTCAGCTAAATCATCTAAGTAGCCTATAGCATCATCCGGATCTTTTTGCAAAAATTCACCATTACACATCATTTCAAAAAATTGACGCTCCCTAGGTAATAATCCCTCATAAAAATAACTCACAATGTGCCAACTTTCATGACCGTGGTGGAGGCAGAGGGCTTGCAATTCTTTGTACCTTTCCCACGCATGATATAAAGTTTCACTCTTCTTTTGAATAGAAGAAGAGATTTGTTTTTTCAATGCAGTTGTTTTATGGTAGGAAAAATACTTGTCAAAGAATGTTTGGGTTATTTTAGCCCAAGTCCCAATCAAACGTAGTCGCAATGAATACAGCCAGCTCTTTGTTCTTTCTTTAAGAGAAAATGGGAAAAATTTAAGCCTTACTGCATCCATTGTACCATGTTAATTGTGAAAAGTCGCAACCACCTCTTCAAATTCCCTAATATGCACATATGAGTTTTCATTTTGAAGACCGTGAAAAGTGGAAAAAAGTTGGATCATTCCCAGTTTCAGGTCTATATGTGATATATTAGGTGAAAATATGATGCATGACAATGTAGATGTGCATGTGGGGTGAAGATAATTGTGCAAAGTCCTAGTTGGTACCTCTTCATGTTCGCTATCAGTCATGTTGTTATGTGATGTAATGTGTGTGCCAACAGATTCAATAGCAAAAAGAGGGTTAGAAAGTTATTCAAACACTGGTTGAGGCCTCGCAGTGAATCGTCCTCCCTCGTCTTGAAACCTGTTCATAAAAAACAAAAAATGAAACTAAATGATAAATAACAAAATAATTAATAAAATAAACTAAACTAACTAAAAGAATGTAAAAAAAGGAATGAAGTCATCCTTTTGCTTGAGAATACTTCAAGTATTTGTACTGTCTCCTCAACAACGGTGTCAAAATTTGATTACACCCAAAGTATAACACGATTATTGTAGTATAGCCTTGGGGTGTCGATTTCACGGGGATATGGGAAATGCTGAAAGGATTAGAACCTTAGTGATTTCGAGAATTATGTGAAACTAGTTTATCAATTTGGAATGAAATTTAAATATCAATATGTGAAATTAGTGAAGTATTGGAATTCCCTCAATTGGGTTGGATCGATCAACATCAACAATTAATGTATTATTACTCAATTAGAGGTTTTCATCCCAACTCTCTAATCGGAAGATTTAACAGTAAAGATGATTTTAGTTCCAATTGTAATTCTAAGATTTAGACTTTCTAACACATTCCCAAAGTTGTTATTGGAGTAAGATCAAAAGTAACCATATATTTCAAGCATAAGATCATAAATAACCCACCAATAACATGAATGAAATTGTAACTCAATAAATATTTCGATCAAACAATAGAAAAAACATGATTGAATTTATGAAAGATTTAATAAAAATTAAACCAATTTCAAAATCAATTTCATATTTAATAAAAATTAAACCAATTTCAAAATCAATTCATAAGGGGAAAGTCTAAAATCTAGAATTGTTTGACAATAAAATACCAAATTACATGAGCAATTGATGTGATTTCTCCAAATCCAATGAGTTCCTTCCAAGTTTCACCAAGAGTTTTAGTTCTTCATGGAACTTTTGAACCAAAAACCAAAGAAAATTAATGTGAGTATGAAGGGAGGCATTCTCTGTTCAGTCTAGGGCTTAAAACCGTGTGCCAAGTTGTTTCCAAACGAGGTTGAATCGAAAAAGGAAACTAAATTTTTGGCTAGAATATTTTGTACGACTACTTTCAGTATTTTGACCATAACTTTCTCTCCCAACGTCCAATTAAGGCAATTCAAAGTGCATTGAAAAGCTAGCACAAAGGAATAATTTTTTTTTTCTAGAAATAGCTTTTTTCAAGTTCTGACGTTTTCTAGGTCAAAAGTGGACTTCAATCTCCGACTGAAAATTTGGAAAATCTTTATGCGGTTGGAATTTGATTTGTGAATATATTATGGTCATATTTAAGTTCTTTTAACTTCTAATTATACCCAATGGACTCTGAGCTTTCTCAAATCATCATTCCATCGCCCGTATCATCTTTAGATTATTTGCAACTTGGTCCCTAAACTTTCACTTTCTTCCATTTTGGTCATTTTTCGTTATTTTCTTCTAAATTCCACATTTTCTACCAAAATGCAACTTGAACCAAAGCATAAGTATAATGAGTACATTTTGATATCAAAAAGTCACACTAATGCAATAATTAAGATGAGAAAATATTATATTTTACACTCTTATCACCTATGAGTCAATGAAGTGGGTTGACTGTTATATTACATGCATATCCTATATGAAAATGCTCTAGGCATATGCGTGAATCTTAGAACACTGCTACCAGCAAGCAATAGTAGCCCCGCACTCCCATCCTTACTGTGTAAATTTCATCCATGGACGCTTAACTTTCAGTGCAATCTCAAATGGGTCATTAAACTTTAATTTATTATATTAACTTATATTAGGCTTAGTTTTGAATTTCATCACTCCATTACCATTGATCTCTAGAGTAAATGAAATTTGCTTAATTGATCGTCATACCGCAATGGATCTTCATGTAATAATTGTGTCATGTCAATTCACAATTATACCCCATCTGAAATAACAAATAAGCATTTTAACATTTTAATCTAAAAACATACTATGACCTTCATTTGTTCCTTTTCATTTCTACTTGCTGGCTGCCA